TTCATTACTCAATGCATTCGTAACTCTTTTCTGAACGCTTGCAGGACAAACAATGAATAGTAAGCTCACTGCTCTTCCAATGTGCAGTTGTGCAAGGATGCGTGACATCTGGAGATAAAACAATTTTGCGCACGAGTTGCCCACGTCAGTCCATTTTTCATCAAAAAAGTTTGCCAAACCTGTTCCGACATAGGTTACAGAAATTTTCGATCGTCCCTTTGCTTATTGAAACTGCCCTTGTCATTGAATGCGCGTGGCCGCGTGCGCGTTGGGAATCGCTCACGTGCGTGTGTGCACGCGCGCGTGGTTTGGGGGCGACGGGTTCGTCTTCTCGACAGGAGTTTCTGTGTGTGACGGTGGCCCCGAGCTGCGAGGACACCGCCGTCACCGAGGGAGCAGTCTTGGAGCTCGTGAGAAGCCTCCACGGATCTCTGCAGTGTAAAAAGGTACGCGGAGCAGTTCTGAGCGTGCAATTTCGTCTGGTCGCCTTAATTTTTAGCAGTAGGGCTTTCGCGACCAATATTATCCACAATAAGAGGCTTTTTTTTGGTTGGATCGCGTAAATGTGTCGCCTGATGAGGCTGGTTGTTGTTGTAAATTACCGGCGAAACGTCACGATACTCGAATTGTAAATGTTGTCGTGGGTTCACTCTCCAACACACACGCGGTGTGCTGAACGGGCAACTAATTGCCACGTTCTGTTTACGTGACAAACCTTACTCATTGGTCTGTGTCGCGTGGTCGCGGGTTTAACGACACATTTATATTCACGCGATGGAACACAAACAACTGTTTGACCGTGCTCTCTCCACGCTGGTCGGTGTGCCAAATCTCATCAGATCGGATGCTCAGCCGGGTTGAGCGACCACCTTGAACAAGAACAATTGTTGTCACTTGCCGGGCGCTACGCTGTCAGAAGCGGAGTCGGGGAGGTGGCAGGAGTGGGGGGGTGGGTGGCAGTGCAGCAACATCATAGTCGTTCTGTACTGTACTTCTATGCTCCCACACATCTCCTCACGTACGCCAAACCGCACTCGACCAACGCGACCAACGGGGGTCAAGTGACGCCTGCGACACGCGCGGTGTGGGCACGCCCCACGCCACCGGTGTATTTTACACGAGCGATGTGCGCACGTTGCCGAATGGAACTCTGTCTCACGACGTTGTGACGTTTTTGTGTTGCAGTATTTGTCACCACCGGTAGAGAAGGCGTTTGCTCAGTACGCGGTGGAACTTGCCGCTGCTATTGGTGAGTACATTATTACCCGTTGTTAGGAAGCCACTTTTATATCTAGATTGAAAACTCACTTCTTTAGGACTGCTTTTTGTGTTTAGTTTGTTGTCCTTCCCCCGCACCTCTGATTAGCGCGGTTGGCTACGTACAGTGCGAAAGAAGTTCAACATATATACATCCTGCATAGTGGTGTGCAAGTGCTATTGTCTTACATTTGAATTTAAAGATGCCATCTACTTGACTAGCTTGTCCATTGTTTGATAAGAAAAAAGACTTTTAATTTCGTTGTGGAGCTTTGAGTGTTATTCCCCCATACACATGGTGGTTTCTCTGGCCTACCACACGGAAGGAAAATGCCAACACTAGACAAAAATATCCTTTTGTTAATGTAGCCTGTTCCCCGATAACGCTCGAGTAGTAGCGTTCCTGAAGAACACCGCGTTATGGAAAAATCACGTAATAAATATCGGGGGTAAAGCACAGTCCGCGATAACACATGAGATGTGTACGCAGGTCGAACAAACACCGAGGCGCGTGGGTAGCATCTAGTAGCATCCAGCAGCATCCCACTGCCTCGTGCGATGCCGAGGCAGCCGTACGACCGCTGATTCCTACTCACGCGACGTAGTTCCGTTCGCTTGATCGCGTTATATCCAATTTGCATCCGTTTAGTAAAATGTGTTTCCTAATACATTCATCGCGTTGTATCCAATTCGCGTTATGAAAACTGGCAGCGTAATCGAAAAGACTGTATTTGTGTTGTGTTTTTTATTTGGACTGTAACACTGAAATACAACGGGCCTGCTCTTGCGAATGTCAGGGGATCTTTAACGTCCACTGTGATGCAGTAGTTCCGTTCGCTTGATCGCGTTATATCCAATTTGCATCCGTTTAGTAAAATGTGTTTCCTAATACATTCATCGCGTTGTATCCAATTCGCGTTATGAAAACTGGCAGCGTAATCGAAAAGACTGTATTTGTGTTGTGTTTTTTATTTGGACCGTAACACTGAAATACAACGGGCCTGCTCTTGCGAATGTCAGGGGATCTTTAACGTCCACTGTGATGCAGTAGTTCCGTTCGCTTGATCGCGTTATATCCAATTTGCATCCGTTTAGTAAAATGTGTTTCCTAATACATTCATCGCGTTGTATCCAATTCGCGTTATGAAAACTGGCAGCGTAATCGAAAAGACTGTATTTGTGTTGTGTTTTTTATTTGGACCGTAACACTGAAATACAACGGGCCTGCTCTTGCGAATGTCAGGGGATCTTTAACGTCCACTGTGATGCAGTAGTTCCGTTCGCTTGATCGCGTTATATCCAATTTGCATCCGTTTAGTAAAATGTGTTTCCTAATACATTCATCGCGTTGTATCCAATTCGCGTTATGAAAACTGGCAGCGTAATCGAAAAGACTGTATTTGTGTTGTGTTTTTTATTTGGACCGTAACACTGAAATACAACGGGCCTGCTCTTGCGAATGTCAGGGGATCTTTAACGTCCACTGTGATGCAGACGCTACGTAGTATTAAACACCGCAGCAATAACCGGGGCGGCCTGCTGGATTCAAACCAGGAACCCACGACGAGCGGCGAACGCGCTACCGTTTGGCCGTGACGTTACCGCCTCAATCGGGTTTTGTTAAGAGAACGGGTATCCCAGTATTTCGCAAACACAACGGTAAATGTCAACGTGACTGCGCGAATTGTGTCCAGCCTTCGACAGAGTGCTGAGCGAGAGCCCCGCCGTGAACGTGGACTGCTGGGAGGAGAGCACGCGCAGGCTGCTGGGAGCTCTGCAGGGCGTCTGGACCGAGTTCTCAATGCAACCCCCGTTCCACCTCCTCCTGGCCAACAAAAATGTCTCTTACCTGCACTCGGCCACAGACAAGAAGGTTTGTTCACATCTGTACTTTCACAGCTATTTATGTCAAAACTTGGACACCGATTAATGTCGTGCTCGTTTATTATGAATGTTGTGGGTTTACGCTCCCAACACACCAGTGCGCTCAAGTAGTAACTAATTGGCATGTTTTATTTACGCTTACCACCATCCCCTCGAACGCCCCACCACTCACCACCCCACCGCTCACCACCACTCGCCACCCGACACGACAGCGCTGCTGCTGGGCACTGCTGCACTTGTCGCGGCAGCTGGTGGCGGGGAGGCTGCACGTTGGGAGCGCGCTGGTGGCGAGGTGGGACGCTTTGCTGGAAGACCTTCCTCCGGAGGTACCGACCAATGTGACGAGCGGGTGAACCCGCTGAGGTTGTATCGAGGGCTTGGAAACCGACGACATTTATTTATTTTGTATCACAGGTCAATATTAATATCTACAGGACAAAAAAGCCTTTTTAAACAGCTGGCTGGTGACGTCGCTTCCTCAAGTGTGTAAGTGGTGCGACTGCACCGGTTCCCACAGGCCTGGAGGAGAGGTCCTGCCCAGGCGCCGTGCTCCAAAGATGGGGGGAAATGAGGAACATGGACCCTAATTTCATTCCTCATACCGGGGCCCATGCCGGCAATGCCACACCCCACTGCAGCTAAGCGCAGTGGTCTTGCTATGTGTAGAGGCTGTGTATCCCACGCTCTGCCACATGAGTCCGAAGCTTGGCGAATGAGCAAAAATAACGTTTAAAAGTTACGCTCAGGCAAGTCATTATTATTAGGCTGAAGTGACGCCACGGTCATGCCACTCGTACATTTCAATGTCTGTGAAGGCGTAGGTGGGGAACGTTTGGCCCACGACTTGATGTTATACTCCCCACAGCAATAATGCCTACCACTTCAAAATGCATACCTGTCAACCCATACAGTTTACCCGTGTTCTTGTACAGGGAAATTGAGTAAAACAATGTTTGTCTATTCGTTTGTGTTTCTCCCTTGTGATGGGACTTTGTAGGATGTATGTTGAGATTTATAAGGGCACGGGGTGACCAATAGGGTGTGAATTGGTCTGTGATAAGGTAGACACTGATAAGGTGTTGACAGGTATGAAAAATGTCCGCAAACTATATTCATTGCGACATCACTAATCATTGAGACCTCCTTTACCAGTGGCAAAATATAGTGATAGGTTTTTACCCTTTCAACTAGTACGCCTTTTGGCGTCATCTGGTCCAACACCAATGGAGACTAGGCCCTAAGAAAATCTGTCTTGGGTGTGGACCAATCAACTTCAAGGACAGTGCATATCATTATCATAGTTGTTTCTTTTATTTTTGTTTGCATTTTGACTGCTTGTGTTGTGGTTATTGCAAACATGATGCCTTGTATAAAGGTGTCAGTTTTTGTACCAGTTGAAAGGGTAAAAACCTATCACTAATCACTTCAACGGCCTCACCGCAAAAGCCTCAACACGTACGTTATGGGATAACACCAAGGTGCGTATTCCGAGTGCGGCCCACCAAAGATATCTCTGCAAATCCTATTCGACCCGACTGAGGAAAAGGTTCCCCGTGTCCGCGTGAAAGTCTCGATGTTGTTGACCAAAATTCACATTGTAAGGTACAACAAAGACTTTTCAACCGGAAAGACTGCCAGCCCTCGTTTCTGAGTTTTGTTCTATTTTATTTCCTTTTCAGGGGGAAATAAGGGAATGTCTTTTGGAAACGGCCAACAAGTTTAAGGAGCTGTGCGAGGAGGAATCTGTTGCCAAAAGCCCCAGAGCCGTGGATGCTGCGTGCAATCCGGTGGAGCCCACACAGCAACAAGAAGAGGCCGCTTTGAGATGACGACTCTTCAGCAGTTTCATATGAACTTATCTAGTTTGTACACTGCACTTTAGGACCCTGGAATGTCGCCAATGACAATTTTCGGGACAGTTTTAAAATCACACAAATAAATAATGCTCGTCAGTTTAGCTTTTTTAAATTTTATTGCACACGCAAAATCTAACGAGAACCAAGTCTCCACACGCCGCATTTTTGTGGTAATGCCAATAGCAAGCAATTATTTTTCTCTGCTCGTGCGATTCAGCAAATGGTCGCCGATTACAAGAGGTTGTTCCAGTCTCGTTTTACTGTCAAATACACCAGCGTGGAAGGGTAGACCAAAAACCCTCGACGGGGGCTCACTTAGTAGCGGCGTGAGCAGAGCATACGCCCCGGGCCCTACCGTCACCATCTGTATTGCGCACATTAGTTCAGTTAACCCCAGCAACACTTTTAAATGTTTTTTTGCTCATACAATCGTAGCACACATGCATGACAACAGTTTTAAAGAGTCATTTTAACAATAATTTCAAGAAACCTCTTTAAGTGCTCTCTGTTGGTGGCCAATTTTGCATTTTTGACCTCTGTGCCTAAGCAACTTTGTTAACATCGAAAGAAATGCGCAACTTTTACTGCCAATCAAACTCAACAATGGAATGCCTTCATTGTTTATTACACGCGAGCTCAAGTGTTGATGCGAATGTTAATAAAGAACAGTTGATGCCTTTGACCAAACTGCCCCGAAATGCGCTGATCTCGTCAAATCTCAGATGCTGAGCAGAGTTATGCCTGCCTGCTGCTTGTGTGTGTATGTGTGTGCCACAAGCAGGCGCTGAAGGTTGCAGCAGGGCTAACGTTATGGGCAGAAAGCAATGCATAAAAATTCACTACTGCACTTGTTCCCACATTTATGGATGCCCCCCCCCCCGCCTGCAATCCTCACTGACCGGTGTGGTGAAGTATGGTCAAATAACACCCACCACCCACACAGCGTGTGGGGAGGCCCTCGTCCAGCGGTGAATGAACACAAGGGCTGTAGTGTACATTTAAATAACTCCACAACCTTTCAGTGTAACTAACTAATTTGAAATTGATCGCTTGCGAATTTTTTTTAGTCTGCCACAGAACGGTCGTGTAGCCGAGTGCATTTTTTCTCTCCGTGTCGTCTCACCGCAAACAGAGCGCTGGGCAGATTAAACAGCGAGTTGGCACAATCGGGAGCAGTTACCAGCTGTGTTTTTTCCCACTGGAAAAAAACACACCTGAGCCCGTCCCGTTACCTGCAAGCGAGCATTCAAGCACTTGAAGTGGCCTCAAGTGCACCCAGCCTGGCACAAGCATTTGTGGTGACGCCGCGGAGGTGAACTATGACCGATGCTCATCACACCGCATCCACATTCCACGTGGGTACCCTCTCATCTTCTGGGATCATGCTCCAGTTGGGAGAGGGCACGTCTGCCAGCCAGTTGAAGTCGTTGATTCCGTTCCACGTCTGGCCGTGACCCTCCATCCTCGCATCTTTGAAGTGGCTGTCCAGGCCCGGGTAGCTCAGGTTGTAGGGCGCGAACCTCACTCGGACGCAGTCTTCGATGATGGCCTTGCTGGCCACGTCCACGTAGAAGTCTGTGTCCTCGGAGCGGTGGGCGCGGAACTGCCTGCAGGCCACCACCACCTTGCACCCTTTGCAGTCGTCCAGAAACACGGACGTGGCCACGGGCCCACACAGCACCACGCAGTCCCTGACGCCCGTGATATGCAGGGTGCTCGGGGAGCCCAGGAGCGCCACAGTGCAGCCGGACAGGTTCCCCAGGGCCCAGTCCGTGCCGGACAGCCGGTCGCCGCGCTCCGTCAGCTTCTGCCCGACCAGGTCGTGGAAGCCACACTGGACCAGGTCGAACTTGGTCGACCGCTTGTGTTGGCCATCCGTCGCCGGCGGCGCCTCCACCTTGTCGTCGGTCTCGTCCTTCTCCACCGCCGCCTCCTTCTTGCTTCGAGCTTTGAAGGCGAACTTCTTCTTGGGCGCCGCCTCATCCCGTTTGGCCCTGATCCTGGCCAAAAAGGAGTCGAGGCTGCCCTGCGCCTGACGTAGGCAGTACGCCGGCAGGTAGAGCGTGGCCTGGTTGACGAGGTCCTGCAAGGCCGAGGCGCGTCCTGCGGCCTCCTCCACGGCACCCCGCAGCAGCAGCGCCTCCAGGGCCGCCGTCTCGGTGCTGAAGGTCGCCCCGAAGCGGTCGGCCTGCTCCCCCGGCGCCAGGTCAACCTCGTCCTCCCGGCGACGGCGCTCAACCTCCGTCTTTCTCTCGGCGTCTCTGCGGGAGATGTTCTCGATGGCCGATGGTGGCGCTGGAGTGGCAGACATGGCCGACGATGATGGGAGAACAGCCAAGGCTGTGGGATGGAAAGGATTGAGAAGATTAATACAGTGGTTCTCAACCGGTAGGGTACGTAAGGTGATTTATAAATGTGTGAAATATCATACATGGGTCATTGGTGTATAATCACGTATGAATCTGCCAATATAACATAACTACGATACAATTTTAATCCATATGGGAACCTATAACGCTATAAAAGACCCTTCTAAACATATTAATCGTAAACAACGTGGTTTATAAGAATAAACAGCGAGCGCGAACAAATTATGTCATGCGTACAAAGCGTCCGTTGAATGTTTTTTTTTATTCGCTTGCAATTACTAACGAGGTCGGATGATACCTCACAAAATGAACAATTGGTTAAATTATTTATGTTATTAATATATTTACTTCTTAGAACAATGTTGGGTCAGACAAGGGAGTATTCGGTTGAAACATTTCAACAAGGCGAAGCAAGGTTGAGAATGACCACTGGTGTCAAACACATTTATTGCACATTTGCAACTGTTACAGCTCGGGGTACGGTTTCTTGTACCTATTATTTCCTCAGTCAAAACAGCATTTCATGACCCGTCCAGGTACGGGTAGCCGGGTATCGGGTAGGGTACGGGTATCGGGTACCCGATTGCGACCTCTGTGTGGAGGTAGTGGAGGGGGGAAATGACGGGAGGCCGACAGGGGTAGGGGGATGAGGGGGATGAGGAGGATGAGGAGGAGGAACTCAGCCCGGTGGGGTGGAGGGAATGGAGGCGACGCAGTCCGAGCAACTGAAGCGGCAGCCACGGCGAGGAGGAGGAGGAGGCGAAGAGGGAGTTGGAGGAGGAGGCCCTGAGGAGACGAGGCAGATGAATGGCGACGGGGAGGGAGGGAGTAGAGCTCACGAGAGACGGCGCCTCTGACGGGAGGGAACGGATCGGCGGAGACGGGAGGCGGTGGGTGGAGCCCGGACGACGCCTCGAGGAGGAGGAGGACGAGGAGACGACGAAGGTGTCGCTGCAAGGAGACGCGGAGACGAACCCCGGGGTCGGTCTGTCGGTCGCCGGCTTCTCGAAGGAGTTTGAAGGCGGAGACGGCGGGCGGGGCGGGGCTGGCGGGAAGAGACCCGCGGGCGTGAGCGGAAGTGACGATTTGCGGCGGAACTCGACGCGGGGCGAGGAGGAGGGGGGGGCATTGAGGGGGGGGGGGAGGAGGGGTTGGGGGGGAGAAGAGGGTGAGGAGGGGGTGGGGGGGGAGTGGGCGGAGGGGTTGGGGAGGAGGGGGAGGAGGAGAGGGTGAGGGAGGAGGGGGTTGGGGGGAGGAGGGGGTTGGGGGGGAGGAGGGGGGTGGGGGGGAGGAGGGGGGAGGAGGGGGTTGGGGGGAGGAGGGGGGAGGAGGGGGGTGGGGGGGAGGGGGTGGGGGATGAGAGGAATGGGGAGGAGGGGTTGGGAAGGAGGGGGTGGGGGAGGAGGAGGGGGTGGGGGAGGAGGAGGGGGGTGGGGGGGAGGAGGAGGGGGGTGGGGGGGAGGAGGAGGGGGGTGGGGGGAGGAGGGGGTGGGAGGGAGGAGGGGGGTGGGGGGGAGGAGGGGGGGGGGGGGAGGAGGGGGGTGGGGGGGAGGAGGGGGGTGGGGGGGGAGGAGGGGGGTGGGGGGGAGGAGGGGGTGGGAGGGAGGAGGGGGGGTGGGGGGGGAGGAGGGGGGTGGGGGGGGAGGAGGGGGGGGGGGGGAGGAGGGGGGTGGGGGGGGAGGAGGGGGGTGGGGGAGGAGGAGGGGGGTGGGGGGGAGGAGGGGGTGGGAGGGAGGAGGGGGGTGGGGGGGAGGAGGGGGGTGGGGGGGAGGAGGGGGGTGGGGGGGAGGAGGGGGGTGGGGGGGGAGGAGGGGGGTGGGGGAGGAGGAGGGGGGTGGGGGGGAGGAGGGGGGTGGGAGGGAGGAGGGGGGTGGGAGGGAGGAGGGGGGTGGGAGGGAGGAGGGGGGTGGGGGGGAGGAGGGGGGTGGGGGGGGAGGAGGGGGGTGGGGGAGGAGGAGGGGGGTGGGAGGGAGGAGGGGGGTGGGGGGGGAGGAGGGTGGTGGAGGCGGAGGAGGGGGGTGGGGGAGGAGGAGGGGGTGGGGGGGGAGGAGGAGGGGGGTGGGGAGGAGGAGGGGGGTGGGGGGTGGGGGGGAGGAGGGTGGGGGGGAGGAGGGGGGTGGGGGGGAGGAGGGGGGTGGGGGGAGGAGGGGGGTGGGGGGGAGGTGGGGGGGAGGAGGGGGGTGGGGGGGAGGAGGGGGGTGGGGGGGAGGAGGGGGGTGGGGGGGGAGCGCGTCTCCGTGCGTCTCTCTGTCGGTCGTCATCGAGCACGGACGAGCGAGCAGACATTCCCACCTCCTGAGGGCTGAGTCGACCTAGAGGAGACCCGGTTGAGGTGCAGTACTCTCCGCCACTGATGTTGTTGGCCGTGAGCGGGAACCGAACAGTGGGATCTTTGTCGACATCCAGTGCCGGATGAAGCTCGTGCGGGGCCTGTAACAGAAGTCATAAAGGGGCCCTAAATATAAAAACACATAAACATTAAAACACAAATGTTTAACTCGCATAGCAAAGTAATTATTTTTTTTAATTTGCTATACAGCCAGATAATACGACAAATCGCTAACGTTAAACACCCAGGCGGTATGGTACTACAGTAATAGAGCAAGTGCAGACTCGCCCCAAGACCCCGCGCGAGGCTACCCGGGGCGCCTTTGCCTCTCTCTCTCTCTCGTCGCGTCGTCACGTGACTCTCGCCGCGCCGCATTGTGGGAACGCCGCCATCTTGCGCCCCCCACCCCCACGGGTCGAGGGTGGCAGCAGCAGCAGCGGCGGCGTCAACTCCAGGCGCCGTGAGTGGGGGGCGGGAAGAGTGGGGGGCGGGAAGCGTGGGGGGGCGGGAAGAGTGGGGGGCTCTGCGGGCTTTGCTGGCTCGCTCGGGGGGCTCGGTGACTCGGTGGTTCTGTGGCCTTCTCGGGGTTTCGTGGTGTTGGTGGTGTTGGTGGTGTTGGTGGTGACGGGGGGGGGGGGTCTTGAGTCTCGGAGTTTCCCGACTTGTGGGGCTCCTCGGGACCAGCCGAGGAGCCCCAGGGGCCCGGGGGCCCAGGGGCCCAGGGGCCCGGGGTGGGGGGGTGCCGGGGGGCTGTCGGGCCCTGGGACTCGCTGCGTGCTTGGGCTCAGGGAGTCTCCCCCGGGATGTGGATGGCCGCGGCTCACGGCTCAGCTTGAGTCTCACGGCTCACAGCTTGAGTCTCACAGTTCAGGATGAGTCTCACGGCTCACAGGATGAGTCACGGCTCTCAACTCGAGTCTCACGGCTCACAGGATGAGTCACGGCTCTCAGCTTGAGTCTCACAGGATGAGTCACGGCTCAGGACGAGTCTCAGGGCTCACAGGATGAGTCACGGCTCTCAGCTCGAGTGTCACGGCTCTCAGCTGGAGTCTCACGGCTCACAGGATGAGTCACGGCTCTCAGCTTGAGTCTCACGGCTCACAGGATGAGTCACGGCTCTCATGTTGTGGTGGCACCACGAAGCGAGTGCGGCAGCAGCTGCAAAGATGTTGAAGGAGGAGGAGGGGAGGGGCATTCGCCATCGGGACTGAAGCGACGGCCCCGCGGGTCGTAGTGGTGACGGCGTCTCCACTCTGATCGTGGGGGGGTCGGGTTCCCCACGGGGTCCCCCACGAGGTCCCCCACGAGGTCCCCCACGGGGTCCGTCAACAGAGAGAGTCACCAAGGGGCTCTCGCCTCATCCCCGAGCGGGTGGGGGAAGGGGTCACTCGCGGGGGGGGGAGTTCACGCGGGGGGGGGGGGGGTCACGCGGGGAGGGGGGAGTTCACGCGGGGGGGGGGGAGTTCACGCGGGGGGGGGGGTCACGCGGGGAGTTCACGCGGGGGGGGGGGGAGTTCACGCGGGGGGGGGAGTTCACGCGAGGGGGGGAGTTCACGCGGAGAGGGGGGAGTTCACGCGGGGGGGGGAGTTCACGCGGGGGGGGGGGGTCACGCGGGGAGGGGGGAGTTCACGCGGGGGGGGGAGTTCACGCGGATAGGGGGGAGTTCACGCGGATAGGGGGGAGTTAACGCGGGGGGGGGTCACGCGGGGAGGGGGGAGTTCACGCGGGGGGGGGGGGGAGTTCACGCGGGGAGGGGGGGGTCACGCGGGGAGGGGGGGTGGGGTCACGCGGGGGGGGGGAGTTCACGCGGGGGGGGGGAGTTCACGCGGGGGGGGGAGTTCACGCGGGGAGGGGGGGTCACGCGGGGAGGGGGGAGTTCACGCGGGGGGGGGGGAGTTAACGCGGGGAGGGGGGAGTTCACGCGGGGGGGGGGAGTTCACGCGGGGAGGGGGGGTCACGCGGGGAGGGGGGGTGGGGTCACGCGGGGGGGGGGGAGTTCACGCGGGGGGGGGAGTTCACGCGGGGAGGGGGGGGTCACGCGGGGAGGGGGGAGTTCACGCGGGGGGGGGGGGGAGTTCACGCGGGGGGGGGGTCACGCGGGGAGGGGGCAGTTCACGCGGGGGGGGGGTCACGCGGGGAGGGGGGAGTTCACGCGAGGTGGGGGGGTCACGCGGGGTAGGAAGGTCACGCGGGGAGGGGGGGGTCACGCGGGGGGGGGGTCACCCGCGGTCGCCGTGAGTGAGCAGGAGGTCTGCAGGAGGTCTCGTGAGGACACGGGGGCCGTGTTGGGGACTTGGCGGGTACGAATGGCCGTCTTGTGAGCACGGCCTCCGCAGAGTGCATGTCTTGATAGTACACGCGTGTACTGCCACTGTCTTGAAAGTACACGCGTGTACTGCCACTGTCTTGATAGTACACGCGTGTACTGCCACTGTCTTGATAGTACACGCGTGTACTGCCACTGTCTTGAAAGTACACGCGTGTACTGCCACTGTCTTGAAAGTACACGCGTGTACTGCCACTGTCTTGATAGTACACGCGTGTACTGCCACTGTCTTGAAAGTACACGCGTGTACTGCCACTGTCTTGAAAGTACACGCGTGTACTGCCACTGTCTTGAAAGTACACGCGTGTACTGCCACTGTCTTGAAAGTACACGCGTGTACTGCCACTGTCTTGAAAGTACACGCGTGTACTGCCACTGTCTTGATAGTACACGCGTGTACTGCCACTGTCTTGATAGTACACGCGTGTACTGCCACTGTCTTGAAAGTACATGCGTGTACTGCCACTGTCTTGATAATACTTGTGGATTCAAGCACTGTCTTGTGAGTACATGCGAGTCCAGAGGACTGCGTCTTGTGAGGCGCTCGTTTAGTCCAAACGGGGACAACAACCACTCCACCACGTGGCCACAGGAGCTGCCCTGGAACTGGACCTCTAAGAACGACGACGGTGGCGGTGCCGGCCGCCCGCTGGTGAATCAGGGGCGAGCAGTGGCGTGGGCTGGCAATGTCTGGGAGCCCTTTAAGTGCATCGTTCAGCACGTGTGCTCTGAAGCTGTACGGCGTGCCGCGTGGTGTATTTATAGAGCGCTTTCACTCGAGTGTGCCCGAGTTACAATGCGACCAAAGTGAATTCACGCGTGCCTCATATTTCACGTCTTTCATTCCCCAACCAGCCCAAAAGTATTCCAGTTGGGCGAACGATGTCATGTCCGCAGTCAATTCCATTTGGGCCTCTCACAGCAGCATGTGACCCATCGTGTCGATAATTATCGGTGCACGGAAGTGGATATCAGAGAGCGATTTCTGAGATCATTTCAAGTGTCGTCTGTGCTGCACAGTAGAGGGCAGCACTTTCTCACGTGCTCTGCCACTGGGAGTGGAGTTCATCTGAGACGGTCTAAACGGCTGCCTGTATGTGCCTGTATAAGCATGCGTGTGTCATGTGTGTTTGCGTCTGTGTAGTGACTAATGGTGTAGCGGTTAGCACACTATACTACGAACCGAACAACCCGAGTTTAATTCCTGCTCACGGCTAACGCCAGTGACGATTATCTGAACCGTTCCTGGGCCTCCCCTAGGTCGACTCGGCCTCAAATGAGTACCTGGTGTGGTGCGTAAATATCACCTCTGGGAGGGAAAAGCTGGCCGGGCGTGGTGCTGGCCACCCACCCCATCATGTGCTGTATCGGCCTTCATAGGTACCCGCTAAAAGCACTTGCCAAATCCGTCTCAAAAGACTACACAGGGGATCTTTGTATTTATTTGTGTCTCTTTCCGTAAGAGGATGGGGGGCGGAGAGGGCACGGTGGGGGCAGGGGGGCGGCAAGATGAGTGAATCCGGTCCCTGGGTGACTACAATTATTTGTCTCTCCGTGTCCGCGACGGCAGTTCACAATGTTTTCCCCAAGAGAAGAGAAGTTGGAAAAGATGTCGCAGGAGGACATCATCGCCAGCGCCAAGTCGGTGGTGCACGGTCTGGACGCGCTCAAGAACGAGCACAACGCCATCCTCAGCACGCTGCTCGAGACGCTCAAGTGCGTGGAGCGTGACGACGAGAAGAGGGTGGTGTCGGACAAGAGCAGCGTGGTGCAGCGCTCCCTCGACATGATCGAGCTGGGGCTCAACGAGGCACAGGTGGGGGGGCGGCGGGGGGGGGCAGCCACATTCCGACACAGGGGCAGCTCTGCCTGCTGCTCGCACCGTTCCATTCGCTCGCACGATAACTACCTCGCCTGGTACGCAGGAGGTCGCTGATTCGATCCCGAGGCCTGCTGTATATTTGTAGTTTGTGTGTGTCTCTCCCCGTCGTCACGTGGATTTCTCTCCGGGTCCTCCGGTTTTTCCTTCCACATTTAGCATCAGCATTCAGAGTGTTTGGCTGCTGCTATAAATGTCCACGCGATAATCTTCTTCGTTGAGCTATCATTTGTTGCCGGGTCACTTGTAATAAAGAGCTTTCTAGCTTAGTGGATCTTACCTGGTAAAATAACAAATTTGTAATAATTATTGCAGATGTATGTATGTTGAACTTCTTTTGCATTGAACGTAACCAACCGTGCTAATTGGATGGTGCGGGGGAAGGACAAGAAGCTAAACACAAAGAGGTGGCCGGCCACGCGGTCCAGTCTTCACGAAATGAGTGACCAAAATATGTCACCGAATTGTGTGTTTTTTTATTTTAGTCGACAATGGATAACGAGCGGGTAAAACCCTTCACACATCGTGATAATGGCCACCACTCGGAATGGTTTGCTTAATTCAAGCAGCGCTCATCTCCTGTTTACGGTGCCTGAGCCAGTGGTGGAATTTCTGTGTTCCTATGGCGGAGGCGAGTCTATCCACAGGACAATCGCTGTTGTCTTTCTCACAAAGTGGTAACTCGCTTTACAGACCCCAGGAGGGATGATGGGCCGAGTCAACCCCCCACCAAACAGAATATCAACAAAACTCCGTTCCGATTGCAAGCTGGTCCACTTGTCATAGCGGTGGGCACGGTTCATTTTGCTGCTGAAATTTTGACACAAATATTCGAGTTGGTGGTCCGCTCGACCAATGTGTGCGCAATAATAGACCATGCACTCAACTCGCAGTCACTTGAGGTGGTGGGACGGCCCAGTGAGGCTTTCCTGGGTAAATATCTCGCCGCCGTGGGTGCCACGGTAGCGAGATGTTAACTACCTCGCCTGGTTTACAGGAGTTCATGGGTTCGATCCTGACCCCGACGCCTGCTGTATATTTGGAGTTTGCATGTTCTCCCCATAGTCGCGTGGATATTTCCTCCATTTAGAATCGACATCATGTGTTTAGCGTATTTGGGTGTTATAAACTTCCACATGATAATAACCCACTTCGTTGAGCTATCATTTGTGGCCAGGTCGCTTCTGAAAAAGAGCTATACAACTCAATGGGTCTTACCTGGTGAAGTAAAAAGTTGAGTTGAGCTTTAACGTGGCAATAATAACAACAGTAAACAATTCTGGGGTAATGTTTGGTTGGCACCGACGGGCGAGCAGGTCATGGTGGCCCTGTCGAATCATCTGAACACGATGGAGGCGGAGAAGCAGAAGCTGCGGGCGCAGGTGCGGCGCCTGTGCCAGGAGAACCAGTGGCTGCGCGACGAGCTGGCCGGCACACAGCTCAAGCTGCAGCGCAGCGAGCAGGCCGTGGCGCAGCTCGAGGAGGAGAAGAAGCACCTGGAGTTCATGAACCAGATGCGCAAGTACGACGACGATCCAGGCGGGCGACGAGTCCAACAAGGAGGCGGTGCGTCCGCACGCCCACGCGCCACTCACGACGCGCTCCCACATGCCAACATGCCCACACAGCCCCGACATGCCTACACACCCACGTGCCAACATGCCCACACACCCCGACATGCCCACACACCCCGACATGCCTACACACCCACGTGCCAGCATGCCCACACACCCCGACATGCCCACACACCCACGTGCCCTCTCACGACGCGCTCCCACACGACGCGCTCCCACATGCCAACATGCCCACACACCCCGACATGCCCACACACCCACGTGCCAGCATGCCTACACACCCCGACATGCCCACACACCCACGTGCCCACTCACGATGCGCTCCCACATGCCAACATGCCCACACACCCCGACATGCCTACACACCCACGTGCCAGCATGCCCATACACCCCTACATGCCTACACACCCACGTGCCAGCATGCCCACACACCCCGACATGCCCACACACCCACGTGCCAGCATGCCCACACACCCCGACATGCCCACACACTCACGTGCCAGCATGCCCACACACCCACGTGCCCTCTCACGACGCGCTCCCACACGACGCGCTCCCACATGCCAGCATGCCCACACACCCCGACATGGCCACACACCCACGTGCCCACTCACGACGCGCTCCCACATGCCAGCATGCCCACACACCCCGACATGCCCACACACCCACACACCCATGTGCCCACACACCCACGCGCCCACGTGCCCACACACCCATGTGCCCACACACCCACGCACCCACGTGCCCACACATCCACTCGCCCACGCACCCACATGCCCACACGCCCACACGCCCACACGCCCACGCGTCCCATACACCCCTGTCCCCAAACATAAAATTCAAGGCAAAGTGCTGGCCACGCCAGTTACTCTCACGCTGTTTCTGCCTTAATAGGTGCTCACTAACGGCACTTGCCCTAACAATCTTTCAAAGGCTATACGAGGGCTCTTTGTCTTTGTGCGGGAGCACTTGAGCATGTTGTGTGGTGTGTGTGTGCGTGTCCTGTCCGTCAGCAGGGAGAAGGAGAGAAGGATTTGTCCAAGGAGCCTCTTGACGACCTCTTCCCGAACGACAGCCATGAAGGCGAGTTTCTCTTCTGAGGCTTCTTCGTTCACACCTTTACCGTCCCGTCATCTCATTCGTCTCTAGCCCAGAGAGCGGTGCCGCTCGCAGCTGTGAGCCGGCGCTAGTCGAGCCAAGGGGTTAGTGGATTGCGCGCTCATTTGAGAAAACCCCAAACCAGCTAGGCGACTGCAAGGTGGCCATGACATGACAAGACACAGGATGTGTTGGTGGCTGTCCATGCGAATTCACCTCTTGAGTATTACCTCCACGTACGTGTGGGGCTTTCTCCTGGTACTCCACTATCGTTCGTGGAATTGACCATTTTCCCACTGCAGGACCCTCCTCTAAGAGTTCCGTTCTTTCCCCGCTTGTCCAAAATAACGCTTTTGAAAAACTGAATCCCTCTTCTAGTGACCTGTGACCTCAGTGCCCTGGTGGTCTGCTGTGCGGGGGCGTCACACTGGTTGTCCTATGGCTATACTCGCCCCTGCCACAGGAATGTGTAGTTTCCACCACTGACTCACGGTTGTAAACAGACGATGAGCACTACCTCAATGCTTTATTTGAGCAAGATGTAGTTTTAATCGATTCCGTAAATAATTGGATAGCATCAGATTGAATGTCAGGTAACGATAACAGTTGCTGCTCTCTGATGATGCTGCTGCTGCCGCCCTGTGTGGGAGTCTTGACATGCGTCTGTTGAGTGTGTGCGGTAAATGGGTAGCGGTTAGCGTGCCGTGCCACGAACCTCGGCGACCCGGGTTCCATTCCCACTCGCGGCCAGGCATGGTGCTGGCCGCCCAACCCCCTCGTGTGCCGTGCCGACCTTCACAGGTGCTACTCGCTAACAGCACTTGCCGCAAGAGTCTGTGAAGGTTATACGGACGGGATCCTTCATTATCTCTTTGTGGGTGCACGGTCCTAGGTGGCCACCAGCCTTCGGGCGGCTACGAGATCCCAGCGCGGCTCAAGACACTCCACAACCTGGTGATCCAGTACGCGTCGCAGGGCCGCTACGAGGTGGCCGTGCCGCTCTGCAAGCAGGCGCTCGAGGACCTGGAGAAGACGAGCGGCCACGACCACCCGGACGTGGCCACCATGCTCAACATCCTGGCCCTCGTCTACAGGTGGTGCCCCCACTTGTTCCTGACGCACGCATACGCACGCACACTCACACATACATACACACATACGCACGCACGCATACTCATGCACGCATACTCACGCATATGCACGCACACACGCATACTCACGCATACTCACGCATACTCACGCACGCATACTCACGCACGCATACTCACTCATGCATACTCATGCATACTCATGCACACATGCTCACGTACGCACGCTCACGCACGCATACTCACGCACACTCACGCACGCACACTCACGCACGCATACTCACGCACGCACACTCACGCACGCATACGCACGCTCACGCACGCACGCATACTCACGCACGCACGCACACTCACGCGTGCCTTCGACTGTGGTTGGGGGAAGTGCTGTTGGCAAGCACGTATTAAGGCCAGCAACAGCACTTGGCCCCTACAGCCTGTTGAAGTCTGTCCGGTGGATCTTTGCCTTTGTTATACAGACACAATTCGCGACACACGAGACTGTGTAAATATTACAAGACAAAGAATCACCCCCCCCCCCATAGCCTTAACAGATTGTTGGGGCAAGTGCTATTCGGGAGTAGCACCTATGAGGGGGTGGCTGGCCAGCACCACCCTCATCCGCCTTGGTTTCCCAAGTGCAAATCTTTATCCACCGCACCAGGTACTCCTTTCTAAGGCTGAGTCGACCTAGGGGAGGCCCTGGAACAGTTCAGAGATGTATCACTTATTGACTGTGAGTGGGAATCGAATCGTGGGTCGGCGGGTTCGTAGCGCAGTGCGGGAACCACTGGACGTCTTGACAGCTATCGTACCGCTCATTAAATACTTGTGACGAATTCGACACGATCAATGCATTTGCACGATTTTTCCCAACGTGTTTTGGTGTTAACGATGTCCTCTGTCGTTGTCGTTCCTACAGAGATCAGAACAAGTACAAGGAGGCGGGAAACTTGCTGAACGATGCTTTGGCCATTCGTGAGAAGACCTTGGGGAAAGATCACCCAGCGGTAATTGCTTGTTGCAGCGGCGGCATCTTTGTCGTGCATCTCGGAGAGAAGATTCTTGCAACGTTACACAGAAGTAATATTTTCTTTCTGGCAGTGTTTCTACACTCTGGCGGTGGGAAACCTGCAGGCCACGGGCCGGATAGGGCCCACTACTTCATTTCGCTTTCACCGCGGCCACATGAGGCCTGCCGCTTAGGAAACAACTCGTGAACTAAAATCGTCCATCGCTGGAAGTATTGTAGCTGCACTAATCGGGTACTTAAGGGCATCTCACAGTGGCGAGATGTTAACTACCTCGCCTGGTATACAAGAGGTCGTGAGTTCGATCCCAAACCTGACGCCTGTATATTTGGAGTTTGCGTGTCTCTCTGCCCTTGGCCGCGTGGATTTTTCTCCGGGTACTCCGGTTTTCCCCTCTACATTTAGAATCAACATCACGCATTTAGAGTATTTGGCTGCAATACATTTTAACACGATAAGCCACTTTATTGAGCTATCATTTGTGAAAGCCAGGTCGCTTCTGAAAAAGAGCAATACAGCTCAGCGAGCCTTACCTGGTTAAAATAGTTAAATTAGTCAACAAATATATTAGTTTAATATTTTCAACCTGACAACAGCACCACTGCGTTTATGATCATAACGCCGTGCTTGGTTACTGCTGTCCCCTAATAGATGCGGTGGAGGTGTGCGTGTGTTTGTGTGTAGCGGTTAGCTACAAGCCCAACAACCCAAGTTGGATTCCGCTCATGGCCAACACCAGTAGCAATTATCTGAAACGGTCATGGGCCTCCCCTAGGTCGACTTAGCCTCAAATGAGTACCTGGTGCGGTGTGTAAAAAACATCGCCACTGAGGGAGACAAAGGCGGTCGGGCGTGGTGTAGGTCGCCACCCCCTCGTGTACCGTGCAGTACTTGCCCCAAGAGTCCGTTAAGGCTATGGGAGGGATCTTTGTCTTTCCACACCGAAGTCACGTGAACGACTGTTCTTCCCTTGGCACTGGACAGGCCCTCCGCTGGTGTTCGTGGAAGCGCTTTCTCCCGATCGCAGCTGGAGACTCGGCAGCAATTGTTTATAACAGGCCGCACCTTGCCGACGAGAAAAGTCAAAACCCGTCCTAGGGTTTTTCCGCGTAAACGCAAGTCGCATTTTTGCAAGCTTAGACAAAAATGTATCGCGTGTCGCTCATCACATATGGAATCAAATTAACGACGTCCGTTTCGCCCGGATGACGGCGTTGGTTTGGTTTAAGGTGCCGCGACAGCGCTGAACAGGTGGACCATATATTTAACATGTGGACCATATAATAATCCACTGTAGTGTGGGCTCATTCATCGGATGAGGAGGAATAGCGACACGACAAACTCCCTCTCTGCTGAAGCCCTCTCGTCGCGGCGAGTGGACCCCGACGTTGTCGGCACCGAGCCGCTGAACGTATCGCCGCCGCCGCCACCACGCGCGTGCGAGACCGTCCCTCCTCGCCCGCTCACACCCCGCCCCATTGCGCCCTTCTCACGGCAGGTGGCGGCGACGCTGAACAACCTGGCCGTGCTCTACGGGAAGCGCGGCAAGTACAAGGAGGCCGAGCCGCTCTGCAAGCGCGCGCTCGAGATCCGGGAGAAGGTGCGCAACGGCACCGCCGTGTCCTGATGCACGCGCACACGCGCCTTGAACACACTGTTGCACGTGTGTATGTTGAACTTGTTTCGCGCCGTATGTAGCCAACCGTGCTCATCGGAGGTTCGGCGGAAGGATAACAAACGCAAAAAGCAGTTTTAAAGAAATTCGTTTTCAATGTAGATTTAAAAGTGCATCGCTCCAGCGGCAGGTGCTGTGAGCAAGCACGTATTAAGGCCGGCACGGCACTTGCCCTTACAGCCTGTTGAAGTCTATGTTAGATGTTTGTCTTTGTAATACAGACACAATTCACGACACACGCGACTGTAAATATTACAAGACAAAGATCCCCCGTGTAGCCTTAAAAGGCTGTTGGGGCAAGTGCTGTTTGCGAGTAGCACCTACGAAGGCCGGCACGGCACACGAGGGGGTGGGTGGCCTTCATGCGCACGCACGCAAGCACGGGCTGCCGCTGCCACCACCACGTCCAGCATGGCAGAGTTAATTTTGTGAACGAAATTAGAGCCTGACAATATTTGTCAATGAAGACTGTTTTATTTATATATATATAAAATGTATTTCCACCTGCCTGCTTACGTGTCTGTCTGTCCATCCAGATCTTAGGCAAAGACCACCCGGACGTGGCAAAGCAGCTGAACAACCTGGCACTGCTCTGCCAGAACCAGAGCAAGTATGGGGAGGTGGAGCACTACTACCGGCGGGCCCTCGAAATCTACACCAAGCAGCTGGGCACCGACAACCCCAACGTGGCCAAGACCAAGAATAACCTGGTGCGTCGGTGGCGGCGGCGGGGGCCGCTACTCCTCCACCCGCTCTACACCTTGCCACCAGTGATGGACCGTAGCGCCTCGCTGCTGGTCTCGTCACGGAGCGTTAAACCATCATCACGCAAACTGCGGTCATCTTCGCAGCAACAGCAGCAACGGCGCCGGTGGTCACCGCATTTCAGATGCGCTTCTGTGGCCATCTGGAACGCTCTTCTTCCGATATTAGGAAGCCACTGGAGCTGTGCACATTTAAATCATCTTGATCTAGATTGAAAACTGATTTCTTTTAGAACTGCTTTTTGTGTTTTAGTTTGTTCTCCCTCCCGCACCTCCATTTAGCACGGTTGGCTATGTACGGTGCAAAAGAAATTCAACAGTACATACATACAACATACATGCAACATACACACAACATACATACTACGTACAACATACATACGGCTACAGAGTGGCACGGTGGTAACGTGTGAGCCTCGCAGCAAGAAGAGCCTGGGTCCCATTCATCAAATTCGGAACTTCTGCAAACGAGCGGCTGACGCGGTAAACTGTGGTTGGCGCATCGCCGCCGTGTGGCATGGCAGTGCGCTCGTGTGTTTAATGGCCGAGCAAAGTCCTCGCCGCTCTGACTCCTTCCCGCTCCCTCTTCCAGGCCTCCTGCTACCAGAAGCAGGGGAAGTTCCACGAGGCGGAAGCCCTGTACAAGGACATCTTGACGCGTGCTCACGAAAAGCAGTTTGGATCGTTTGATGGTGAGACTTTGACACAACGGCGCCTCCCCCACCCCCATCGCGATTAAAGTTTTACGATCGCCATACCGCTTTGCTTCGTGCGCATTGCAATTTGGATTATTTTTTACCAATAAAATCCAAGTTTCTTTCTTGGCTAAGGGACAGCACGATGAGAATCCACGTTGCACGCGCATGCCTTGTGTCAATCCCCTGCTGGATGAGGCCTTTCCCTTGGCGTTGGGTCGCGAAAACGAGGCGGGACCCTCCTGATAACGAGCCTTGAGACTCGGTGAGGCTCTCCTGGTTAAATGGACATATTGGGGCACACCGGTGCAGCATAACACACCGGTCCTCATAAAACTGTCTGAAATCAAATTGTCAACTCAGTTTATCTGTCTTTAATTGACCCTGTCGCCAAGTTTTACGCGATTCGAAGGTTTATTCAGTCTACCGAGACTGTTGATTTGGGTACGTTGAATTGAGGAACCGTCCGACCAAGTCTAGGGTACGGGGAGTCAAAACACGCAGCAGCCAATCGTCATCAGGCTGGGCGCTGATGTTCGGCAACAGGCTGTGAAGCTCCTTCGTGTTCAGCCCGCTCACAACAATCGTCTTCCGACCAGCTTCGACATCACGAGAACTGATTTTGACGCACCATCACCACCCCGCAAATCGCGGGAAAATAACCAGTTATTGCGGTTTATTTGTTTGTTTATACCGAGCACCACCGGTGTACCGCCAATACGGTCAAATATCAAGCTGAACGATCGTTGTTTGTTGTTTCCTGCTAGGTCCCAACAAGCCCATCTGGGTGCACGCCGAGGAGCGCGAGTACAACGTGAAGGTGCGAGCAGAGGGCCGCGTGTCAGAAACGGAATGTTTGTTGATCCTGAACAAATCCGACGAGCCATGAAGCTCTTTTGCACAGATGCCCAGTGCGTTGTGAGGTTGTCGAGCGGGGGAGCAGTGGTTCGCGCGCTGCGCTACGAATCCAATCTGGCGACCCGAGTTTGATTCCCGCTCGCGGCCAAATGCAGTGGCAACATATTCGAACCGGTTTTGGGCCTCCCCTAGGATGACTCGGCATCAAATGAGTACCTGGTGCAGTGTGTAAACATCGCCACTGGGGAGACTAAGGGAGCCCGGGCGTGGTGCTCACCGCCCGCGTGCGCAGTGCCGGCATCATCGGTGCTGCTACTCGCGAACAGCACTTGCCTCAACTCTGTTAGAGGCTATCCGGGTGATCTTTCTTTGTCTCCCTTGTAACTAACCTTGGGTGGAGCGGTGGCACTTTGGTTAGCGCACTGCTCTATGAACCCAGAAAGCCAGTTCCGTTCACGACCAAGGCGAATATTCGTGGTGAGTGATATGTGAACCCGTCCTGGCCTGCCCCTGGGTCGACTCGGCCTTAAATGAGTACCCGGTGCAGTGCGTAAACTTCAGCGCTGGAGACAAAGTCTGCCGGGCAGGGTGGTGATCCTGTTACCCCTTTTGTGTGGACGGGCCGGACACGGTATGGTTGTGGTGTTAAGTGACCACGTTATTTCGAGGGCACGCGATCATTAGTCGCTGCGCTAGGACCGTGTGGCAAGCGGGCTGTGGGACGTCTCGTTGCGGTGTGCTTGTGTGTGACCCAGGGAAGCCACATGGAGCTGGGAAACTGGTACAAGGTCAGCAGAGAAGACAGGCAAGTCTCCGAGTCTCCTCCGACAGTTGCGACGTGTTGTTAATAGTAACGGTATTGTTTCGCATTGTTCGTGGTTTCGTCGTTAATCATGAAAATCCCACAGACAAGCGTTGCCGGGCTCTGGTGGCGGCACCATTGTGACCATCGGATCCATCCTCTCAGCATGCCTTGCATATCATGTGGCATCACCACACACTGCGTGTTTAGATTTTACAGCCGCGCTTTCAAATTATTACATTAATAAAAACCGATTGTCGCATCGATTACTCGACGAGTCGGATAACGTGACAATAGTTGGGGAACATTTTTTTGTTCTCACCTCCGTGTGCCGCTGGCTGGGTGGTGATGGGCGCGTGGCGTTGGTAGAGATTTAGGCACCGGCCGCATCGTGCCCGGCGTGGCTTTGTAAGGGGTTTCCCAGCCTTGGAGAGGCGGCGGGACGATGGCATGGCTGCCGTTTTTCGCCCGGACCCGAATTGATCGGCCCCGGAGAAGCTTGAGCCGAACACAACTTTCAGTTGGCCTATCGACGCAACCGACCGATCGTTCCGGCTCGAGTCAACGCACAAAAGCTCCGTCTCAGCCGATGATCGCGGCGGCGAGTTGCTCGCCGTTCACGCAACGCGCTCGCATTGGTTCAAGTTTAGAGCCGTGAGGGCTTTTTTTTTTGAGCCGTGCCTTCGTTTGTTTGACGCAACCTCTCTTTCCCCCCCCCCCCCATGTGCGTGTGATCGTCGCCGCCGCAGCCCCACAGTGACGAACACGCTGAAGAACCTGGCGGCGCTCTATCGGAGGCAAGGCCGGGTGGAGGCTGCGCAAACGCTCGAGCAATACATAGCGCGCGGCCACCCACAGGTACCGCCGCCTTGGCCACTGCTGCTCCCCCACACACTGCTCGCTCGTGTCGCTGTCTCCTTACTCTTGCCAGCTGCCACGTAGTGACCCTGCTGTCGGCGTGTGCGGTGCAGGACGGCAACTTGGTGCGCGCGCACGACAGCGGGAGCCAGATGTCGCTGCATTCGGTTGACTTCGTCAAGTACGAGAGCGGGCCCGAGGGCGCGGACGACGTTAGCATCCCGGCGCAATGGACCGGGGTGTGTGACCTCGCGGTTCGCACTCACGCACTCTCGCTCACTTTCGCTCACTCGCACTCTCATACACTCAATGCACACTCGCTCACTCGCGCACACTCACACACTCGCTCACTCGCACTCTCACACACTCGCGCACACTCGCTCACTCTCGCTCACTCGCACTCTCACACACTCGCCCATACTCGCTCACTCGCACTCTCATACACTCGCACACACTTGCATACTCGCTCACTCGCACTCTCATACACTCGCACACACTTGCACGGCCCTCCGGAGAGCCGGCATGGGGCATCCCGGCACGGCTGCCTGCCCCCCCCCCCCCCCTCGATTTCAGAATTTCACAAGGCCGCACCTAACAATCCAGCAGTCGACGGAGAGGCCTGAAGTTCAAATCACTCTGTGGGGGGGCTTTTCATAAAGTGAGCCTCGCTTGTGTTGACGGTGATTGTCCGATAATTCCTCGGAGGCTGCCGACAGAGTTAAAGTGCCATTCGAGGGCTCGTTTGCATGCAGAGAGAGACGCTGGATCTTTACGTTTGTACTCGCTAAGAGACGGGGAGGGAACCTCCGGCCCGTGGCCAGGATACGGCCCGTCACACACATGAGGCCCACTGCCTTGAAACGCAAACCTGTCAACGCGTCACCGCAAGCGTTGTAACCCCACTGATCGGGTACTGGCGGGGGGAATATTTTTTACCCGTTAACAGCACGCCGTTTCTCATCATAGTGTTCCCGCTCAACACATTTTCTTTCAAGTAATTATCTGACGAGACGAGACATATTTATGGGTGATTCGGTTCGTCGGCGATGAGGGAGTCGACAATCTGGATACAATCGTCGCGCACACGCACGCACATGCCCGCGTCACGCTTGCCGCGCCTCTTCCACCTCTCCTCACGAGTTTCGCGCGTGCGCCTCCCCGCGCCCGTCGGTGTGCTGCCCGCGTGCCCAGGACGGGACGGGAGCGATGTCGCGGAGCAGCTCGTTTGGGAAGTTGCGCGAGACGATCGTGCGCAGCAGCGAGAAGCTCGTCATGAAGCTCAAGGGGCAGGTGGAGGAACCTCGCAACCCCGGGTAAGGCCCTCGCCTCTTCCTCCTCCCCATCCCCCCCTTGCGCTTGCCACGGAACCGGCGGCGCCAGCTGTGTCCGCGCACGCCGTGGCTCTCGCAAGCGTCATCGGCCGCTGACGATTTTCTTCATTTGGTTGCGACAACCGTTCTTTGACTTGCCGGCGATAACGACGACAACAATAATAATAATCGGCGCGTTGTGAAGCGCTTTCCTCCGCTTGCCGATTCAGTTTCTGTGGCTGCGTCGGGTTGGTGTGGAGGGTTCTTAACAAACATAGATTTGGCCCAGTCGTTCTGCGGTGGCCTAACCCACAATCAATCGCGGATTTCAGATTCCAAAGAACACAGGATGAGATGTTGCTATCCTTTGTGCAAGCACTTCCAAGAGTTCATGAACAGTGAGCCTGGTGAAATTTGGGGAGCGCATCGTCAGTAGTGACCCTTTGGTTCCTAGGGTGTTTCGGCCTTTCATACTATACACCCTCCCCAAAGGCGGCCAGCGACAGGGTGATCAATCCTACGCTTGCGTCCCATTCCCAATTGGTCATAGGAGTTGCCTTGTTGTTGGTAGCCAACATCCCATGGGACTATGCATGGCAGGGGCGTCCTCCTCCCTGAGTCAAGCATTGTTGACTGCATACCTCCTGGCCCTCTCACTTTGGGGCCCAGCTGGGGTCTTTCCTCTTCATCCAGAGCCACTGACTGCTGCCTTCTGCCGCCTCCGATACAGCTTTGATTGCCGAACGCTGGCTCTGGCCCTTAATTCCCAGGTCTCTAAGCAGTCTGGTTGTAGATGTTGCCACAAAACCTCTGCAGCCGACCTCCACTGGTCGGACTTCTGTGTTCCAGCCATGATGCCGTGCTTCGGCAGCTAGATCGGCATAGCGCAGATGTTTTCGCTCATAAGCCTCATCTACTGAGTCCTCTGCGGTGGCCTAACCCACAATCAATCGCGGATTTGAACGAGCCGAGGGATTCGGCGTGGAATCGGAAGAGAATTCCACAGTTCCCCGGGCAGGATGAAGTGGCACGAAAGACAAACGTCGCTTCGCAGGAAGCGATCGCCCTGGCCAGGCCAGAGGGAGGGAGCACGGGATGAAGTGTGTGTGGCCTCGTCCTATTGCATGCTATGTTTTGTGGAGTTGCACTGGCTCGTGCTGGTTCTGCAGTTTTTCAAAAGTGCGTCAACTTTACGACAACAAAAAACTCAACGCATTCATCAACTACTGCTGCGGGTGGCCTTAAAATAAAATAATAATATTCCAGGTGACATGCTGGGCAATGGGCCTGTTTCACAGCACGTCAATGTTCAGCCCCATCGCCCGAAACGTCGCCCGTTTATTTTTTCCGTCTTCAGGCCACGCACGTCGGCGGCCTTGACGGCCGTGTTGACGTGTTTTTGTTGGTTGTGCTGGTGCACCGCGCGGCAGCGTCACCAGCGTCACCAAATAACTTTGCTCTTGTCTGTGATTCGTCTTTCTCTCTCTCTCTCCTCGTGCATTGCAGAATGAAACGTGCGAGTTCGCTCATCACTTTAAATACCAGCAACAAGACTTGGGAGGAGCCGTATCAAGTAAGACCATTTTATCCCGACCGTTTGACCTCGCCTGTGCCTCCCGTCAGCTTTTGTTGCAACTGATCTTGAGGCAACTGCAACTCCAATGTTAACTCTCACAGCAGATGTGGGGGGGGGGGGGGTCTCCGAAAGGCGATATCAAACGACTTACAGCGATATACGGCCAACACAATTTCCCCAGGGTCTCTCTGGCCTGAAAACCCTGTATGTACGTGTATGTTGAACTTCTTTCGCACTGTACGTAGCCAACCATGCTAATCAGAGGTGCCGGAGAAGGACAACAAACTAAACACAAAAAGCAGTTCTAAAGAAATTACTTTGTCAACCTAGATGATTTAGAAGTGCATAGCTCCAGTGGTTTCCTCATATCGGAAGGAAGAGCGCTCCAGACGGCCACAGAAGCGCATCTGAAAGCGCCACGCGATGCGGTGACCACCGTCTTTGTTCGATGGCCAGCCAAAAGCCGCCTGCCGCCGCTGCTGCTGCTGTGAGGGTGAGCGGAGTGTCGCTTGATGGTTTCTGCTCCTTCACGAGACCTGGAAACCCAGTGACGGGTGGCAGATGTTCGGGATCCATCCTTGAGCCTGAGCCAGCTTTGCAACGGACTCAAAGCAGCGATGTTGTTCCACAGAGCGCTTCGGTGATGCACTGAACTCACAGGAGTGTGCACCTCCTGTGAGTCCAGACTTACTTAGCGGCCTCATTTCGTGACTGGGTGGTGCCCAGGTATATCCACTTCCTGACCAAACACGTGGTGTTTGCATTGAGACCAAATTTACCACCTTGGACTTTGCAATGTTACTGGTAATTATTTTTTTTATGTTATAAAAATCAAGCCTCCGAAAATCACTGGGCCTAGACTGGGGCTGCACTGGTACTAGACTGGCACATGGCATCCTGCGCAGCGTGGAGGTGAAGTTAACAGCGAAGCAGCGCCGCTTTGCTCGCTGTTCAGTTTGTGAGCTTCGTGAGTGCCATTAAATTCCTTTATTATTTATATATAGTCCCCCAAAAACCCCCGTTATGAACGGGGCACAGTATACTCTATTTTATTCTGCCCACATTGTTTAAGAACACACTGTCTGTCATTCCAAGGTCCCTTCAGTTGCCTTCCATCCGCATCATCTCATACGCCCTGCCCTCTAGAGGTGTTTATCGCATAGCAAGCAAACTGAGAGACACAAAACATCTCTCTGTCGGAGCTGGAACAGATACAAATAGCCTGAAAACTGTGTGGATGACCCTGTGGGTATGACCCCCCTGTGTGTACGACACCGTGTGTGTACGATTCCGTGTGTACGATTCCGTGTGTACGACACCGCGTGTGTACGATTCCCTGTACGACCCCGTGTGTACTACCCTGCATGACCCCGTGTGTATGACGCCCCCGTGTGTACTACCACGTGCGTGCACGTTTCCGTGTGTGCGCAGGCTGGCAGATCGAACCGCCGCCTGAGCGAGTCTCGTCCCCTGAGCTCCAGCCACGTGGATCTGGGCCCACACAACGATTCTGGGCCCCGTTAGCTCAGCCCCCGAACGGCAGCTCACAACCTCGTGACGACAATGTGGGCTCCTGTTCACTTGCTTTACACGGTACGATCTCACACACAGGAAGCGTTCCCTGCTTACCTTACTGACGGGGAGGGCCCCCTCTCACTCTCCCATTCTTCGCCCACCCACCCATCCATACTCACCCACTCACAGTCACTCACCCACTCATCACGCTCACCCACTCGCGCGCACACACACACACGCGTGATTGTTGAGAAAAATATATATAGCACAAAACCAAAGTGAAGTTTCGTCATTATTGCTGTAAAAATTAAACAATCGCGCGTTTAGTCAAAAGTAGCGGGTGTCCCAAAATTTCACTACCAATGATTGCACTAAATGCAAAACAGGTGAAATTGTTTAGCCTTACTGAGCTGTGTCGTTGAGTTAAGCGCAGCTGCGATGAGTTTAGGACGAATGTCAGCTCCCCCCCCCTCCCCCAGCACCCGCTTCTGTGCTACAATTTGTGTTTTGCACTTAGTTGGGAGTAGAATGGGTTGGACGCTTAGAAGCATTAGCGACGAGCAGCTGTGGCACTGCCGCTTTGACCGTCTTGGCGCGACGCTGGGGCCGGTGAACCGGGCAGTCGACCTCTCAGTGCACGGGTGGGGAACCGTTTCCTTCCCCAGGGTAGAATACAAGTTTCGGATGTCTTTGGCGGGCAACTGCATGGGCAGCGCAGCCACTGCTGCCACTGCCAGGGAGTGTCTTGGAGTGACAAGCTGTGACTTTGAGCGCGGCGCTAAAGTTAGAAACGCAGTGGTTGATGATGCCAGGTCGATAGTTCCCCTCCCGCACCCGACTTGCGCAGGCTGAGATGCTTGCAGCGATGGATAAATATTTGTTGGCGGGTCGTTTCGAAGTAGTGTAGGCCTCCTGTGTCCGCGGGGCCGTGTGAAATGTAGTCGGAGGTCGTATCTGGCGCCTGGGCTCCGGTTCCTCGCTCCTGTCCCGGCCGTGTGGCGCTCATCTCAGTCGGCCGCCTCGAAGGGTCAACGAGACAATCGCTGTCAACACAAATCGGTGCTCTTTTTTTGAAGCCGAGTCGGATGATCGGCTGGGACAATCCCCGGAGCGATTGTAACCTCCCCTTCCGATCCTTAGCCGATGGAGTTTATTGGCCGATCGTAGATTTTTCGACAATCCGTTTTCAGAATAGATTATCGGTTCCGTTTGTCACGGCATCGATAATTAATTCAAGTTCAACGTTGGTGACGATAGGACCGATTGGCTCGACACGAACGTTCAAACCGCACGGCACTCATCAGCGGTACCTCCAACGACAGTCGCCACTAAGTGGCAGTGTCGTCGCCACGGTGCTTTGTGCCAGGCTAGGTGCACATTAAGTCTCTGTGAAGTGTGGGAGGGTTCGCTGTTGGTAGGAAGTCACGGGACAGACCCAGGTCCCATGGGTTGACTGAGATACACACGCAGAGGTTTGACTTTTTTTCAGTTGATAAGACATTTTAATAATTGCGGCAATCCGCGAATGAACTGTTTTTTGCATGCGGTTATCGATAGCGCTTCAGTTATTAAGTGAACACCCTACGTAGCCTAGCCCTCTGCCACGTTGCCACACACCCCGGGCCGTATAAGTAGCATACTCACCGTGCATTCCAAACGAACCTACGGGCAGATATCACGGCAAAGTCCGCGTGTGACTGGGTGGATTAATTTATATCGGATGACGTTGCCGGGTGGCTTCAAGGGTCATAGGCACTGAGCCAGCGTCGCTGTGAACCCTGCTTTTGGATTTGTTTTTCTTGAAACCAGTTTTTCTTGAAACCAGTTTCTCAAGCGTAGTGAGTTGGTGGTCGCGGAACGGTTCACAATGAAGATTTAAAAATGAGTCCACCATAAAATTCCAGATTTTCCCTGAGTAATCTCCCTGCTCAAACAAACATTGGGGCGGTTCTCATCTCTGTCAGCGATCGCCCGCTCTCCCAAGCTGCCAGTGGAAATTCCATATTCCTTCGTCGGGGGCCAGTCGTTCCATAGGACAACCGCTGGTGACGTCCGACAAAGCGGTACGAATTTTATCGACCCCCTAGAATTCACGAGGGCCGGATAATACTGATGGCAAACGACTCTACGTCGAATTTGATGTCGAATTGCGAACTCGTGGTTGCTCGTCCGAGCTCTGCTGCCGTAGTGGCACCCCACAGCTTACGGTCGGGGGGGGGGAGGAGGATTTTATTTCTCGGTGGATTGTTCACACGGTGCTCTATTTGGTGGAGGTTCTGGTGAATGGCAAAAAAACGATGAAATGTTAAATACCATTGCAGTCTCGTACGTGTGGTCCGTGACCTAGGGTAGAAAACTTGGCAGTGTCCCCCAATTTGAGACCAGGAATCCATTGTCCTGGCAAGACCCCCATGTGGCCATTGAAAGTGAAATGAATAAGCGATGACCTACTCAATGGTTACATATGCGCGTGGACAACCCATTTGTCAATCCAATGCTGGATGAGGGCCTCCTCACACTTACGTGGGCCATAGGGGTTTATTTAACCCTACTTCGCCAATGCGGGTCAGTGCGAGTTCGTGAAGGTGGGGAGCATAGATGGACCGTAGTATGGTATGGTGCATAGTATACCGTAGTACAGTACAACAATAGCACTGCCCTCTGTTGACAACTTATTTCCGCTGCAACCTACAACATGTTGCACGCGTGGCGGTGGCGGTCGCCCATCCACACACAATCCAGGCTCGATCCTGCCTAGTTTCCTAGGTCTGATGAGGTCGGAGACATTGCAGATTTTATTTGGTCACAAGCTTTCGATGGTTCGTCGAATATCAAATTTCTCGTCGAAATGGTGTCAGGTGATTGGTCGGCTGGCTCCGAGGTGAGAGCTGTGAGCTGGCTCCGTTTAAGGTCCTGGGTTCTGAATCCAGGTTTGGGCCACCTGTGATTGAACCGGGTTCTCAAGTGCTGAAGAGTTGATGGTGTCAGCTCAAGTAACCAATGACCGCGCACGCGGAAAAAAAAATACCGTTCAAAATTTAATTTGGTTCCGCACTTTAAATTTGTCTAAATTCCAGCTGTTGAGAATGTTAACCATCGGTTTGACCGATCACGCGGCGAGTGGCAGCGGGTGATAAAAGTGCCGCCTCCCCGCTACTGCGTAGTTCAGAGGTCACTTGAATGGATGTCAGAATTCTCTCTGCGAAGGTTTCGCGCTGCTCTGCGAGATTTCTGTTTGACGCGACGCCAACAGCCAGATTCAGATACAGTTGTGGCTTGGAGACAAAAGAATCGTGATGTTTAAACTGTGCTGTTGCTTATTCGCAAACAACCACATCTCTGTTTTTCCACCTTGGTATGGGTTTGACAATTCAAATCTCTGGCCTGCACCCATGTAATGCGGTGTAGGCCCCTCCTGCACGCGGGGGGGGGGGGGGGTTGGGTTTCTGGCTCAAAGCGGAATCCGTCTGCTCATTTGACTCAGATTATACGTCCCCTTGTAGCGTTTGGCTGCTGTCGTAACTACACTACTGTCTGAGGAGTTAATTTATTTTTGTAATGCAACTTTATTTCGAACACACTGGCTTAAAGCACCCGCTCGATGAGTGCTCATTTTTGTGTTGTCGCTGCTTGCAGTTTGAAGTGTCTAAAGACTTCTTCAAAAAGCAACTCGTTTCTCTCACGGCGATTTTATTATTTTGAATGTGATCTGACCTGCCGATATTTGTGAACACCAAACGGTACGCTAATACTGTAATATGAATGCTGTTGTGGTTTGGAATCGTAATTTAGGGGAGGGGGGAAATGGCTTTACAGCGGAAAGTACACTCTTGAGACGTTACCAAGTTCCTCGTCACTATCGCCATCGTGGCCAAACCGTCAGTTCTCCCATGGTGCCGTGCATGCGACGTGACACAATATCACTGCCCTGCTCTTATAATGCACACAGCCGTGATTTACAACTCAAGTCAAAATCTTGGCCATGTTGTTTTCAACAGCTGGGTGGTCTAACACAAGGCTGTGTGCGCGATACACGCAGTGCAGTGACATCACGTGACACGCAAGGCATGATGGGACTGACTGGTAGTCCTCTGGTCACAATCGCCCCTTTCGCATGTATCCCTTGTTCATGTCTCTCACCTCTCGCGAATCTGTACCCGTCTGTTTACGGATTAATCATCTCATCTCTCGTTCATCTCTCACCTCATCTCATCTGAATCTACGTCTTGGTGAGCCATATCTCTCTGCGGGACATAGATCTTGGGGCCACTACCATGAGCCATTGCAGGCCACCATCTGACCTCTGGGGCTTCCATTTAAAGAAGCAGGTATTCAGTAGGTTCGTGTGATGCTCGCAGCCATGAGAGACCACTCCATACACCATAATGTAACAATAAAGAACAGATTCTGAAATCTAATTGTCATCCTGAATTGCAACAATTCATCAAATTGTTACGGGCAAGGGAGGTGACGGAGAGAATCATCATGCCTCTAACTGGCAGTCCACGAGGGCTGGATCGCGAAACACGCCATGTTTCTGGGAGACTCAACTGGGACACATGGTGGTGAGCTGGCAGCCACTCCTCCTTCATTAACCACGCCCACTCAACCACTACCCTCCTCCCACTCAACCACTATCCTCCCCTCCCACTCAACCACTACCCTCCTCCCACTCAACCACTATCCCCCTCCCACTCACACACGGCGGGGACGTTTGGTAGCTGTTGCTTTATGAATCCTGAAACGTCTCTCAAGAAGTATTTTTTTTCTTTTGTCTAGAGTTCCTTTTTTTCCGAAACCATACACTGGGTATTGAAGCTTTGTGCATTAAGAATCAGAGAACTGCAGAGGCAGGGTCCAGAACGCACGCATGAGTCCCGCGGCTGAAGATATGCATCGTGAAGTGACTAATGGGAATGGAGGTTTTTACTTGACTCGTTTTACATATCCGTGATATGCTGTGATTTTACGTGTAATGTCGTGCACTTGTGATTGGGCATCAGGTTTTGATAATGTCATTGTTCTTGTTAAAGATTTCAAATATAATTAAAAGAGTAATAATGAATAATAAAAATATAAACGTCAATGTGTTTTGCTCCTTTTTCTTTCCCCCGCGATGACGCACGTATTTTAAACGTTTGAGGATGACGTTGATTGTAGTCTCCTCGCTGCAGGATAGAACTACTGTAGCTCACTTGTAAAAATAAACTACAACATTTGACATTACCACGTAGGGCCTACCGAGCTCTCTGGCTCTTCAGAAGCGACCTTGCCACAAATGTTGAAATGTATCGCAGCCAAATACTCTAAGCGCATCTTTCTAAATGTGGAGGGTAAAATTGTAGAAAAATCCACTCGACCACAGGGAAAAAATGCAAACTACAAATAAACAATAATAGAGTTTTTTTTATTAGATCACGTAAATATAAATGTGTCGTTAAAAACTGCCACCACCCGGCACAGCCAATTGGCAAGGTTTGTCACATTAACAAAACATTCCAATTTGTTACTAGTTCAGCAAACCGGTTGTGTGTTGGGGAGTAAACCCACGACATTTAAAATGCCAGCACCGTGACGTTTCGCCGGTAATTACAACAACAAGCAGCAGCAGCATCGTCAGGTGATGGCCACATACAGCAAGCGTCAGGGGTCGAACCCATGACCTGCAGCCCAGGCGAGGGAGTTAACATCTCGCCACCGCGGCGTGCCCTACTTGGTTAGAAGTAGGCTGAGACGTCTATGTCCGGCGGACTTGAGGCAACAACAACACTCTTGGCTACTTCTTAACACGTAGGTTTTCATAGCCGATATGATTCATAATTATATTGAATAGATGACGTAGTTGCTCGCAGGAACGGCTAGAGACCAGAGCCCTGTGCTGCAGGACAGCCCTGCCAACTCTCAGATGGAGGAAGGAAGAATCTGTCAGGCCACGTGATGATCTGACCAAAAACTGTGCCATTAGAATCCCTCCACAGCCCGACAGCCAAACAACATGCATTGTGACGTGTACACGCGTGTCATGTGCTCATTGTGACGTGTACACGCGTTTCATGCGCTCATTGTGACGTGTACACGCATTTCATGCGCTCATTGTGACGTGTACACGCGTGTCATGCGCTCATTGTGACGTGTACACGCGTGTCATGCGCTCATTGTGACGTGTACACGCGTGTCATGCGCTCATTGTGACGTGTACACGCGTGTCATACGCTCATTGTGATGTGTACACGCGTGTTATGCGCTCATTGTGACGTGTACACGCGTGTCATGCGCTCATTGTGACGTGTACACGCATTTCATGCGCTCATTGTGACGTGTACACGCATTTCATGCGCTCATTGTGACGTGTACACGCGTTTCATGCGCTCATTGTGACGTGTACACGCGTGTCATGCGCTCATTGTGACGTGTACACGCGTGTCATGCGCTCATTGTGACGTGTACACGCGTTTCATGCGCTCCTTGTGACGTGTACGCGCGTGTCATGTGCTCTTTGTGACGTGTACATGCGTGTCATGCGCTCATTGTGACGTGTACACGTGTGTCATGCGCTCATTGTGACGTGTACACGTGTGTCATGCGCTCATTGTGACGTGTACACGCGTGTCATTCGCTCATTGTGACGTGTACACGCGTTTCATGCGCTCATTGTGACGTGTACATGCGTATCATGCGCTTTTTTTCCATCAGCTACCAGCAAGCTGACGAACGATCCTCGCAAACCGCATTCGGTGGTTATATACGACGTCTTGAAATTACGTCAAAAATCACGGCGGCAAAATCTATAAAGATTAACATTCCAGCGAGTAAGTGACCGCGTCACTTTGCGAGTCTCCGACAGGATGTTGCAATCTTCATGTCCACGTCTCATCTTCCTCTCGTATCGGCCCACTGGGTGTTTACACGCGAGAGGAAACTGGGGCACCCGGAGAAAACCCACACGCACGAGGGGGCGACGACGCTCTATCCCATGCAGATTGAACAAGTGGAGGCCGTAGCGCACTTTGCGGTGCCGCCTTCTCCTGGCGAGCCAGGGCACGCGGCTCCTCCTCGACGCCCACGGGGAGAAATTGAGTCTCTCACCATCTGTGTGTGATCCACCAACCTTCGCCGCTGCCTTCACAGGCGCTGGGTCGCAGGCGACTGACAGCCGTCACCGGCAGCCTTTACACAACGGTGGCGCTCGGGACTGTGTCTCGTTCACGAACTTCAGCTCGATACTTTTTAAAATGCTTTATATTAAGTTCACTTGCTTGCTTGCGCGCTTACGACTGTGCAAATCTTTCGGTCGTTTTTTAACCCACTTCCCGTGATCCAATCGAGCTGACATTTTGCACACAGACTCGTTGTGCGTGACAATTTATTTTCGTGAAATTTTTGTAACAAAATTTTACACTTTTTAGGAAAAAATTAATTATATCTAATTACCAATTGATTAATGGTGGCAGGCAATCATCTGACCCATAGGTGGCAGCCATCTCAAGCCAGAGGACGAGAGGACTCTAGCCGCCACGCATATAAAGGATTTATAGTGAAAAACTTTGTTTTTACGGGTTAAATTTTTTTTTACTTTAAACGACCCATAATGGAGGTCGTGTAAATATGAATGTGTCGTTGAACCCGCCACCACCCGACACGCGGCCAATGAGTAAAGTTTGTCGCGTAAACAAAACGTGGCCAATTCGTGACTCGTTCTGCACTCACCAGATGTGTGTCGGGAGAGTGAACCCACAACAACATTTACAACTTAGACTACGTGTGTACACGTCACATGAAACGCGTGTACACGTCACAAAGAGCACATGAAACGCGTGTACACGTCACACGGAGCGCATGAAACGCGTGTACACGTCAATTCGTGACTCGTTCTGCACTCAGCGGCTGTGTGTTTGGAGAGTGAACCCACAACAACATTTACAACTTAGACTATCGGGATGATTTTTCTGCTTTAAATGTCCAAGCGATAAACCGCCTTTGTTGAGCCGTCACTTGTGGTGGGCAGGTGGTCGCGTTTGAAAAACAAGTGAAGACCTCAGTGGGCTTTGCCTGGTAGAATGGGTATGGTGCAGTTGTGGTTGTTGTTGTGTTGTGTGTTTGTGTTGTTGTTTGTGTGGTTGTGTGTTTGTGTTGTTGTATTTGTGGTGTTGTTATGTTGTTGTTGTGTTTGCGTTGTGTGTTGTGTTTGCGTTGTTATGTTGTGTTTGTGTTTTTGTTGTGTGTGTGTTGTTGTGTGTTTGTGTTGTGTGTTTGTTTTGTGTGTTTGTGTTGTTGTGTTTGTGTTGTTATGGTGTTGTTGTTGTGTTGTTGTGTGCGTCGGCCACTCGTCTCAGTCAGTCGACCCGTGGCACCTGGGTCTGCCCCGTGACCTCCTGCCAGCGGGCGTTCGACACTTAACGTGGCCTCATCGTGCACCTAGCCTGGCACAAGCGTCGTGGTGACGTCACCGCCACTTAGTGGCGAATGGCGATTGTTGTTGTTGTTAGCCTTTATTGTACTTTGCACTCCTATCGTGTTCTTGCACTGTTTGTTGCTGTTAACGTTCTTACCCCCGTGCCCCGACTGGACATCTGTAACAAGTAAACCCGTAAAAACAAAGTTTTTCACTATAAATCCTTTATATGCGTGGCATCGGGGCGGCTAGAGTCCTCTCGTCCGCTGGCTTGAGATGGCTGCCACCTATGGGTCAGATGATTGTCTGCCAGTATTAAGCAATTGGTAATTACATATTTAATTTGTTTTCCCTAAACAGTGTACAATTTTGGAAAAAAAATTTCACGAACATTAATTGTCACGCACAACGAGTCTGTGTGAAAAATGTCAGCTCGATTGGATCACGGGAAGTGGGTTAAAAAACGACCGAAAGATTTGCACGGTCCTAAGCAAGCAAGTGAACTTAATATAAAGGATTTAACAAGTATAACCCGTAAAAACAAAGTTTTTCACTATAAATCCTTTATATGCGTGGCGGCTAGAGTCCTCTCGTCCTCTGGCTTAAGATGGCTGCCACCTATGGGTCAGATGATTGTCTGCCAGTATTAAGCAATTGGTAATTAAATATTTAATTTGTTTTCCCTAAACAGTGTAAAATTTTGGAAAAAAAAATTTCAGGAACATTAATTGTCTCGCACAACGAGTCTGTGTGCAAAATGTCAGCTCGATTGGATCACGGGAAGTGGGTTAAAAAACGACCGAAAGATTTTCACGGTCGTAAGCAAGCAAGCACGCGAACTTAATATAAAGGATTTAAAAAAAACAGCGTTTATCGCTCATCGGATTCCTCCCGCAGTATAAATAAATAATCAAATAGCGGACGCGTTTTATTAAATAAATAATGCGGCGGAACTCCCCGTTGAACTAATCAAGATGGCGACACGGCGCCGGTGACGCGACTTCCGCTCTCGACCTCGCGCGCCGTGACGTCACCGTCGTGATCACCCCCCCCTCCACCGCGTGCGACAACTTTGCGACACCGCCTGCCGTAAAGCGTTAACCCCGCGCATGCGCAGTGCGCGCCTCTGTCGTCGTCTTTGAGGGAGGAGGCAGCAGCAGTGATGGCAGCGATGGCAGCCCCAGCGAGACCGCGCCGCGTGCTCGAGGAGGACTTCTCCAAGATCGAGTTCGAGACGAGCGAGGAGGTGGACGTGACGCCCACCTTCGACTCCATGGGGCTGCGCGAGGACCTGCTGCGTGGCATCTACGCCTACGGTAAAGGGGCGGCGCGGCGGGCCAGGTCAGGCCTTGGCGGCGTTGCCTAGGCCTCGTCTCGCCTAGCGTGGGCCGAGGCTGCGGGATGTTGTCGTGTTAGCGGCGAAACGCGGTGTCGTTTGTTTAATGGTGAAAGTGTGTTAAAGATTGTGTTAGTAGAGTAGTGGTGACGTTGAGTTCATGGTGAAAGTGTGTTAAAGATTGTGTTTTCAAGTTTCAAGTTTTCAAGTTCATTTATTAGGTATAGCCCTGTGAGCCATTCAGCTCTTGAATCGGGTGCAACCGCAACAAACAAAAAACAAAAACATGAACAAAAAAACATCTTAAAGTGAATATGTGACTAAGTGCAAACAGAAAATCCAAGAAAAGACAGCAAAAATATTGCAGAAAAAACACCGTACACCAACGCTGTGTGCAAAAATCCCAGTGGGATGCAAGTCAAACAACAACAACAACCACAAGACAGCTTAGATTAAGGCCATCAGTCTAACTCTGTACTACAACAAACAAACATGGCTAAACCAATACACTTTTCGAAATCACCAAAATAAAGCCATGAAAGCAATGAAAAAGCAATCATAGGAACTGTGACGGAATTAGTAGAGTAGTGGTCACGTTTAGAGAATGTTAAAGATTGTGTTAGTAGAGTAGTGGTTAAGTTAATGTTGAAAGTGTGTTAAAGATTGTGTTAGTAGAGTAGTGGTGAAGTTGAGTTCATGGTGAAAGTGTGTTAAAGATTGCGTTAGTAGAGTAGTGGTGACGTTGAGTTCGTGGTGAAAGTGTGTTAAAGATTGTGTTAGTAGAGTAGTGGTTAAGTTAATGTTGAAAGTGTGTTAAAGATTGCGTTAGTAGAGTAGTGGTGACGTTGAGTTCGTGGTGAAAGTGTGTTAAAGATTGTGTTAGTAGAGTAGTGGTGACGTTGAGTTCATGGTGAAAGTGTGTTAAAGATTGCGTTAGTAGAGTAGTGGTGACGTTGAGTTCGTGGTGAAAGTGTGTTAAAGATTGCGTTAGTAGAGTAGTGGTGACGTTGAGTTCGTGGTGAAAGTGTGTTAAAGATTGCGTTAGTAGAGTAGTGGTGACGTTGAGTTCGTGGTGAAAGTGTGTTAAAGATTGCGTTAGTAGAGTAGTGGTGACGTTGAGTTCATGGTGAAAGTGTGTTAAAGATTGCGTTAGTAGAGTAGTGGTGACGTTGAGTTCGTGGTGAAAGTGTGTTAAAGATTGCGTTAGTAGAGTAGTGGTGACGTTGAGTTCGTGGTGAAAGTGTGTTAAAGATTGTGTTAGTAGAGTAGTGGTGACGTTGAGTTCATGGTGAAAGTGTGTTAAAGATTGCGTTAGTAGAGTAGTGGTGACGTTGAGTTCGTGGTGAAAGTGTGTTAAAGATTGCGTTAGTAGAGTAGTGGTGACGTTGAGTTCGTGGTGAAAGTGTGTTAAAGATTGCGTTAGTAGAGTAGTGGTGACGTTGAGTTCGTGGTGAAAGTGTGTTAAAGATTGTGTTAGTAGAGTAGTGGTGACGTTGAGTTCATGGTGAAAGTGTGTTAAAGATTGCGTTAGTAGAGTAGTGGTGACGTTGAGTTCATGGTGAAAGTGTGTTAAAGATTGCGTTAGTAGAGTAGTGGTGACGTTGAGTTCATGGTGAAAGTGTGTTAAAGATTGCGTTAGTAGAGTAGTGGTGACGTTGAGTTCATGTGAAAGTGTGTTAAAGATTGCGTTAGTAGAGTATAGTGGTGACGTTGAGTTCATGGTGAAAGTGTGTTAAAGATTAGTGTATAGAGTAGTGGTGACGTTGAGTTCATGGTGAAAGTGTGTTAAAGATTGGCGTTAGTAGATTAGTGGTGACGTTGAGTTCATGGTGAAAGTGTGTTAAAGATTGCGTTAGTAGAGTAGTGGTGACGTTGAGTTCATGGTGAAAGTGTGTTAAAGATTGTGTTAGTAGAGTAGTGGTGACGTTGAGTTCATGGTGAAAGTGTTGTTAAAGATTGCGTTAGTAGAGTAGTGGTGACGTTGAGTTCATGGTGAAAGTGTGTTAAAGATTGCGTTAGTAGAGTAGTGGTGACTTGAGTTCATGGTGAAAGTGTGTTAAAGATTGCGTTAGTAGAGTAGTGGTGACGTTGAGTTCATGGTGAAAGTGTGTTAAAGATTGCGTTAGTAGAGTAGTGGTGAAGTTGAGTTCATGGTGAAAGTGTGTTAAAGATTGTGTTAGTAGAGTAGTGGTGACGTTGAGTTCATGGTGAAAGTGTGTTAAAGATTGCGTTAGTAGAGTAGTGGTGACGTTGAGTTCATGGTGAAAGTGTGTTAAAGATTGCGTTAGTAGAGTAGTGGTGACGTTGAGTTCATGGTGAAAGTGTGTTAAAGATTGTGTTAGTAGAGTAGTGGTGACGTTGAGTTCATGGTGAAAGTGTGTTAAAGATTGCGTTAGTAGAGTAGTGGTGACGTTGAGTTCATGGTGAAAGTGTGTTAAAGATTGCGTTAGTAGAGTAGTGGTGACGTTGAGTTCATGGTGAAAGTGTGTTAAAGATTGCGTTAGTAGAGTAGTGGTGACGTTGAGTTCATGGTGAAAGTGTGTTAAAGATTGCGTTAGTAGAGTAGTGGTGAAGTTGAGTTCATGGTGAAAGTGTGTTAAAGATTGTGTTAGTAGAGTAGTGGTGACGTTGAGTTCGTGGTGAAAGTGTGTTAAAGATTGCGTTAGTAGAGTAGTGGTGACGTTGAGTTCATGGTGAAAGTGTGTTAAAGATTGTGTTAGTAGAGTAGTGGTGACGTTGAGTTCGTGGTGAAAGTGTGTTAAAGATTGTGTTAGTAGAGTAGTGGTGACGTTGAGTTCGTGGTGAAAGTGTGTTAAAGATTGTGTTAGTAGAATAGTGGTGACGTTGAGTTCGTGGTGAAAGTGTGTTAAAGATTGTGTTAGTAGAGTAGTGGTGACGTTGAGTTCATGGTGAAAGTGTGTTAAAGATTGTGTTAGTAGAGTAGTGGTGACGTTGAGTTCATGGTGAAAGTGTGTTAAAGATTGTGTTAGTAGAGTAGTGGTGACGTTGAGTTCGTGGTGAAAGTGTGTTAAAGATTGCGTTAGTAGAGTAGTGGTGACGTTGAGTTCATGGTGAAAGTGTGTTAAAGATTGTGTTAGTAGAGTAGTGGTGACGTTGAGTTCATGGTGAAAGTGTGTTAAAGATTGTGTTAGTAGAGTAGTGGTGACGTTGAGTTCATGGTGAAAGTGTGTTAAAGATTGTGTTAGTAGAGTAGTGGTGACGTTGAGTTCATGGTGAAAGTGTGTTAAAGATTGCGTTAGTAGAGTAGTGGTGACGTTGAGTTCATGGTGAAAGTGTGTTAAAGATTGTGTTAGTAGAGTAGTGGTGACGTTGAGTTCATGGTGAAAGTGTGTTAAAGATTGTGTTAGTAGAGTAGTGGTGACGTTGAGTTCATGGTGAAAGTGTGTTAAAGATTGTGTTAGTAGAGTAGTGGTGACGTTGAGTTCATGGTGAAAGTGTGTTAAAGATTGCGTTAGTAGAGTAGTGGTGACGTTGAGTTCATGGTGAAAGTGTGTTAAAGATTGTGTTAGTAGAGTAGTGGTGAAGTTGAGTTCATGGTGAAAGTGTGTTAAAGATTGCGTTAGTAGAGTAGTGGTGACGTTGAGTTCATGGTGAAAGTGTGTTAAAGATTGTGTTAGTAGAGTAGTGGTGACGTTGAGTTCATGGTGAAAGTGTGTTAAAGATTGTGTTAGCAGAGAAGTGGTGACGTTGAGTTCATGGTGAAAGTGTGTTAAAGATTGTGTTAGTAGAGTAGTGGTGAAGTTGGGTTCATGGTGAAAGTGTGTTAAAGATTGTGTTAGTAGAGAAGTGGTGACGTTGAGTTCATGGTGAAAGTGTGTTAAAGATTGTGTTAGTAGAGTAGTGGTGACGTTGAGTTCATGGTGAAAGTGTGTTAAAGATTGTGTTAGTAGAGTAGTGGTGAAGTTGGGTTCATGGTGAAAGTGTGTTAAAGATTGTGTTAGTAGAGTAGTGGTGACGTTGAGTTCATGGTGAAAGTGTGTTAAAGATTGTGTTAGTAGAGTAGTGGTGACGTTGAGTTCATGGTGAAAGTGTGTTAAAGATTGTGTTAGTAGAGAAGTGGTGACGTTGAGTTCATGGTGAAAGTGTGTTAAAGATTGTGTTAGTAGAGTAGTGGTGAAGTTGGGTTCATGGTGAAAGTGTGTTAAAGATTGTGTTAGTAGAGTAGTGGTGACGTTGAGTTCATGGTGAAAGTGTGTTAAAGATTGTGTTAGTAGAGTAGTGGTGACGTTGAGTTCATGGTGAAAGTGTGTTAAAGATTGTGTTAGTAGAGTAGTGGTGAAGTTGGGTTCATGGTGAAAGTGTGTTAAAGATTGTGTTAGTAGAGTAGTGGTGACGTTGAGTTCATGGTGAAAGTGTGTTAAAGATTGTGTTAGTAGAGTAGTGGTGACGTTGAGTTCATGGTGAAAGTGTGTTAAAGATTGTGTTAGTAGAGAAGTGGTGACGTTGAGTTCATGGTGAAAGTGTGTTAAAGATTGCGTTAGTAGAGTAGTGGTGACGTTGAGTTCGTGGTGAAAGTGTGTTAAAGATTGTGTTAGTAGAGCAATGGTGACGTTGAGTTCATGGTGAAAGTGTGTTAAAGATTGCGTTAGTAGAGTAGTGGTGACGTTGAGTTCGTGGTGAAAGTGTGTTAAAGATTGTGTTAGTAGAGAAGTGGTGACGTTGAGTTCATGGTGAAAGTGTGTTAAAGATTGCGTTAGTAGAGTAGTGGTGACGTTGAGTTCGTGGTAAAAGTGTGTTAAAGATTGTGTTAGTAGAGTAGTGGTGACGTTGAGTTCGTGGTGAAAGTGTGTTAAAGATTGCGTTAGTAGAGTAGTGGTGACGTTGAGTTCGTGGTAAAAGTGTGTTAAAGATTGTGTTAGTAGAGTAGTGGTGACGTTGAGTTCGTGGTGAAAGTGTGTTAAAGATTGTGTTAGTAGAGTAGTGGTGAAGTTGGGTTCATGGTGAAAGTGTGTTAAAGATTGTGTTAGTAGAGTAGTGGTGACGTTGAGTTCATGGTGAAAGTGTGTTAAAGATTGTGTTAGTAGAGTAGTGGTGAAGTTGAGTTCGTGGTGAAAGTGTGTTAAAGATTGCGTTAGTAGAGTAGTGGTGACGTTGAGTTCATGGTGAAAGTGTGTTAAAGATTGCGTTAGTAGAGTAGTGGTGACGTTGAGTTCATGGTGAAAGTGTGTTAAAGATTGCGTTAGTAGAGTAGTGGTGACGTTGAGTTCATGGTGAAAGTGTGTTAAAGATTGCGTTAGTAGAGTAGTGGTGACGTTGAGTTCATGGTGAAAGTGTGTTAAAGATTGTGTTAGTAGAGTAGTGGTGACGTTGAGTTCATGGTGAAAGTGTGTTAAAGATTGTGTTAGTAGAGTAGTGGTGACGTTGAGTTCGTGGTGAAAGTGTGTTAAAGATTGTGTTAGTAGAGTAGTGGTGACGTTGAGTTCGTGGTAAAAGTGTGTTAAAGATTGTGTTAGTAGAGTAGTGGTGACGTTGAGTTCGTGGTAAAAGTGTGTTAAAGATTGTGTTAGTAGAGTAGTGGTGACGTTGAGTTCGTGGTAAAAGTGTGTTAAAGATTGTGTTAGTAGAGAAGTGGTGAAGTTGAGTTCGTGGTGAAAGTGTGTTAAAGATTGCGTTAGTAGAGTAGTGGTGACGTTGAGTTCGTGGTAAAAGTGTGTTAAAGATTGTGTTAGTAGAGTAGTGGTGACGTTGAGTTCATGGTGAAAGTGTGTTAAAGATTGTGTTAGTAGAGTAGTGGTGACGTTGAGTTCATGGTGAAAGTGTGTTAAAGATTGTGTTAGTAGAGTAGTGGTGACGTTGAGTTCATGGTGAAAGTGTGTTAAAGATTGTGTTAGTAGAGTAGTGGTGAAGTTGAGTTCATGGTGAAAGTGTGTTAAAGATTGTGTTAGTAGAGTAGTGGTGACGTTGAGTTCGTGGTGAAAGTGTGTTAAAGATTGTGTTAGTAGAGAAGTGGTGACCTTGAGTTCATGGTGAAAGTGTGTTAAAGATTGTGTTAGTAGAATAGTGGTGACGTTTAAAGTGCGCCCGTGTTCATGGTAAAGCTGAGTGTTCATGTTAATTACAGTAATGTGCGTTAAACTTCTTTCCCACCATACGTAGCCAACTGTGGTAATCGAAGGTGATAAATCTGAGAGTGGTCGTGATCGTGTTGATGGTAAAACTGAGTGCGCTCATTTGAACACATTGGTGGTGAAGTTGTGTCGGTGATGGTGTTCATTGTAGCGTTGCAATGAAATGGAACGCGTGCGTCTGACGGCGCGAGCGATGGCATGAACTCGGGTGGAGGTAGAACGCCACCGCGAGACTTAGAGAAGCCTTCATCCAGCAGTGGATTGATAATCATCACTGCTGATAAATAAACGGATATTGTGACCAGTTTGTCCGGTGGGACTTGTTGGGGCTTGTAAGAATTCACTGTTAGTTTTGTATACGATACTGGTGGAGCTGTGGTGCATTGGTTAGCGCACAACTTAACCCGTTGTTCTGAGTTCAATATGTGGCCTCGACCAACAAAGAAGAGTGAGTGATACCATCACTAGTATTACACTATTGAGAGTTTATGTTGGTAGGTTACGCGGATGGTCCCGTTTATCCATTTTCCCGGCTACTTTACAAGGAAGATCCGTGGGGTGTGAGCACGGTGCTGTCTTTTATAGTAATTGTGTTACTTCATATTATGGCAGTAACTACTGAGGTTCCAAGTTCAAATCTAAGCCCCCTGACGTCTTGTCTGGGGGTACATATTGGCCGTGGCATGGGACCCTGAGCTGACTGTCGAGACCCTGGGTCTGAATCCGGATTCCATGCACACGTGATGCAGCTGGGCTTGTGTGCGCCGAGAGTTTTTAGAACTCAGCCCAGTCACGACTGACTGCACAGAACAAACCACCGTATATGAATACATTTGGGGGTTTGTTTTGCCCAGATAAAGTCTTGAGGCTCAAACAGGAGACGAGTACAGGCCAAACCACCATGAATAAATATACACACAATAATAAAAGCTGGTACAATCACATACAGCAAAGCTATCACATTTGATTACCAATAATGCTCAAAAATCCGAAACGAACAACCTTCGCTGAAAGTTGCATCTGTTAACACACAACTGCGATGTACCAATGAGAGCGTGACGAGTGAGTGACAAGAGCGGCACGTTGTGTGTTTCAGGTTTTGAGAAGCCCTCGGCGATCCAGCAGCGAGCCATCAAGCAGATCATCAAGGGCCGTGACGTCATCGCACAGTGCGTTCGCCCACTCGGAACAATCGCTCTCCGTGTAGACCCACTCGCAAGCCGCACACATCACACACATCACACACATCACACACATCACACATCACACACATCACACACATCACACACATCACAAACATCACACACACCACACACGACACTCACAATCCACACACATCACACACAATCCACACACACAACACTCACAATCCACACACACCACACACGACACTCACAATCCACACACACAACACACGACACTCACAAGCCGCACACACGACACTCACAATCCACACACACACCACACACGACACTCACAATCCACACACACAACACACGACACTCACAAGCCGCACACACGACACTCACAATCCACACACCACACACGACACTCACAATCCACACACACACCACACACGACACTCACAATCCACACACACACCACACACGACACTCACAATCCACACACATCAATCGAGTCACAATCCACACACATCACACGACACTCACAATCCACGTGCGCGCGTATCGCAGACCAATCACAACTCGCGTGCAGATTAAAGGACCACAATCCACACATGGATCACAGACGAATCACAACCCACACGAGAGATGTAACGACGACGACTCTATCTCACCCACCCGCCGTGCGCAGGTCTCAGTCCGGTACGGGGAAAACGGCGACCTTCTGCGTGTCGGTGCTCCAGTGCCTGGACACTCAGGTGAGAGACCCGATTGAAGAGTTGTTGTGCAGCTCTATTTCAGAAGCGACCTGGCCACAAATGATAGCTCAACGAAGTGGCTTATCGTCGTGTGGAAATCTATAGCGGCAGCCAAATACTCTTAAACGCCGTGCAGACGATTGTGCTAATAATCACCGCGGTGATAATGACAGCAAGTATGATAACAGGCAAGATGGTAACAGTGCGGAGAATTATACCGTTAGTGATGATTACATTTATTATGACAAAAGTAGTTATGGTTATGATAACAGTGAAGACAATAGCGCTGGTAATGATGGTGAATGTGGAGTTAATATTAATGTTTATAATAGTGATGTTCGCGGTGGCGATAGCCGTCATACTGATAGTGGTAATGGTGGTTATAGAGTGACTCGTGATGATTATTTGTGTGTGTGTGTGTGTGTTACAGGTCCGGGAAACCCAAGCCCTCATCTTGTCTCCAACAAGAGAGTTGGCCACACAAATACAGAAGGTACAAATTGCTACGTGCGATTAACACGCATGTGACCTGCCGATAGTTGTCAACACCAACTGTTGTACGCAAATAATTTGAACACGATTGTAGTTGGGAAACTTAATAAAGGGGGAATAACGTGGCAGTTGTAAGTGCATTTTTGAGATGTTACCAAGTGGAGCCTTGTCGTTTTGGGGCTCCCATCACGCCTTGCATTCATCACATGACATCACCACACAGCCTTGTTTTAGACCACCGGCTCTATATTATTATTCCTTATTAATGTCCTCCCTAATCACGAGCAACTTGCATAGGCAACCTGTAGACTTATGTAGGAATCCACAGACTCCTATAGAAACCCATAGACTTGCATAGACTCGTTTCTCAAGCATAGTGAGTTGATGGTCTCAGCTCGGTCACCAATGTCTGCAGGTGGTATACAGGAGGGCATGGATTGATCACGACCATAACGCCTGCTGTATATTTGGAGCTTGCATGTCCTCTCCCCGTGGTTGCGTGGATTTTTCTGCGGGTCCTCCGGTTTTTCCCTCCACATTTAGAATTAACGTGCGTTGAGAGTGTTTTGCTGCTATACATTTCCACGTGATAAGCCACTTGGTTGAGCCGACATCCGTGGCCAGGTCGCTTCTGACAAAGAGCTCTACAGCTCAGCGGGACCTTTCCTGGTTAAAATAAAAATAGTTTTAGTAAAATAGTGTGGACTCGCGCGGCTTCGAGGAGTGTCTCACTCGGTCACGCGTCGCCCCTTGCGCCGCCCGCCAGGTGCTGAAGGCGCTGGGAGACTACATGAGCGTTCAGTGCCACTCCTGCATCGGCGGCACCAACGTGGGCGAGGACATCCGCAAGCTGGACTACGGGCAGCACGTCGTGGCCGGCACACCGGGCCGGGTCTTCGGTACGTCGCCCCACGCCGTTACGTCGATCGCGGCTGCGTTTTCATCCGGAAGCGTGTTTCTTGCGCCTTTTACCCCCCTTTGTGCTGCCCACCGCTTTGCTGCGTTAAATATAACTGTGATTTGCGTTTGTTTCGCGCTATCCCTGTCTATTTTTTATCCGGGTCGCACCACGTAAACGAGACTTGTGTTTTTACGCAGCTCGGAGTTCCGTGTTATTTGTGCTCACGCTTGTGACCAACACATGTGCGATGTTGGTGACTTTTTTTCACAGACATGATCCGTCGCAGGAATCTGCGTACGCGTGCGATAAAGATGCTGGTTTTGGACGAAGCGGACGAGATGCTCAACAAAGGTGGGCGGCTCGCTCACTCGCACGCTCACTTTTTCCGTAGGATTTCATCGCTTATGTTTGTGATGTTTAGATTTGTGTCCAATGAAGTTTAGGTGTATCTTGTAATTTTATTGTTTGTTGCGGTTGCACCCAAATCAAGAGCCGAATGGCTCACAGGGTAAATCCTAATAAATGAAACTGAAAACTGAAGGAAAAAAAACTGAAAACACTCGCACGCTCACTCGCACGCTCCGACTCGCACTCCTTGACACGCACGCAAGGGAACACTGGGACACCTCACCCAGGCGTTACGATCATATTTATTACGATATTGTCAGTGTTGGCGTTTATTTGCTTGGTGAACAGCGGTATAGTGGCTCGTGCACTGTGCTACGTACTTGTTCGATTCTTTACCTTGGCTAACATTCGATGCCTTACCTCCGTTAACATCTCGCCCCCGGCGCTACAGTGGTGAGATGTTAACTACCTTGCTTAATATACAGGATGCCGTGTGTTCGATCCCGACCCTGATGCTTTTGTCTATTTAGAGTTTGCATGTTCTCTCTGTAGTCGTGTGGATTTTTCTCCGGGTCCTCCGCTTTTTCCTTCGACATTTAAGAAAATGCATTTAGAGTATTTGTTTGCTTAAAATTTCTACGTGATGATAAGCCACTTCGTTGAGCTATCATTTGCGGTCAGGTCGTTTCTGAAAAAGAGCTGTGTAGCTCAATGGGCCTTACCTGGTAAAATACAAATAGTTTATAGTTAATTTTATTTGTTTAACTCAACCGTAACCCTAATTAACCCAAATCATCTTCTTGGTTCTTTCGGTAAAGTCATGTAGAAGGGAAATAATAAAATAATAAAAATAAAACATAATAAAATACACATTTCTTATATTTAACAAAGTTTTATTATTATTATTTTATTATTTCCCTTCTACGTGATGACTTTACCGAAAGAACCAAGAAGATGAATCCCTGCAGTCACGAAAGCTTGAAATCGAAATTTCACCCAAATCAATTGTATTTGAATTTGTCGTGGCTCAACCCTAGTTTTATTAGCCCGCCTAATAACTGTCGTATGAGGGTGCTCCACATCTTACGTGAGGTCACAATGGGTTGTTAACCGGAGTTCCTGGTGCCGTGTGTGAACGTGAGTCCTGGGGGAGACATACGTGATTACTTTAAAGGAGTCATGAGGCTCTCCTGGGCAAACGAGCAGAATAATTAAAGGAGTCGGCAGACCTTGAAAATCAATTGTCAATTTGAAGAGGAAGCCAGTGATGTGTGTGTGAGCGAGCGTTTTGAACGACGCTCAAATGCCTCGGCGACTCCACTTCGCCCTTACATCAACATCTCGCCTCAAACATTCGCAATCAGAAAATTAAATTATACTGGAGGAATCCGATGAGCTATCAAGCTCTTTTTCACAGATGTCCAGCTGAACCACAGACGGGTTGGGAAGACAGCGGTCACGCGATGAGCTGTTGTCAAATTCTGTGGGGTTTTTTTATGGGTGGAAACCAGAGAACCTAGAAGAAACTCGCGCAGAACAGGGAGAGGACATTTACATTCCACACAGCAAGGTGCCCGAGTCGGGAACCCAACCCAGGCGCTGCTTGCTGTGAGGCACGAGCGTCACCGCTGCCGCCAGCCGCCCTGCCAGTAGTAAACATTCAAAACGAGACCCCCCCCCCAGTGACAGCTGTCACGGTGTGGCACAGAGACTCGGCACCTGCCAGCGATGCTTGCTCTGGGTCATCCCAATTGAGTCATTTGCGGCCGAATTGTTTTTCAAACTTGGACCGTGACGCCGGCACACACGGTGGCTTACTCTGTGTTCCCGATGGCGTCGCACCGGATCTTTAACGTCCGCTGTGAAGCAGACGGCGGTAACCCCCTGGGGTGGTCTGCCGGAGTTTCGGCCGTGCCGCGTCGCCGACGTATCGTTTTGTTGCCTTGGCAGGCTTCAAGGAGCAGATCTACGACGTGTACCGCTACCTGCCCCCGGCGACGCAGGTGTGCCTCATCAGCGCCACGCTGCCGCACGAGATCCTGGAGATGACGAACAAGTTCATGACGGACCCCATCCGCATCCTGGTCAAACGGTAGGGCATAGCGCGAATCGCACGTGGGAGGGGTGGGTGGGGTGGGAGGGTGGGGTGGGTGGGTGGGTGGGGGGCAGTGGCGTAGCTCAGTGTGCAGGCGGTGCGCCCACGCCAGGGCCCCCTCGGGCTGGAAGGGCCCAAGTGCCGGGCGACCAAGAGGCAGCGGAATTGGGGACAGGGGGGAGTGGGGGGGGGAGGCCCATTGCCCTCCTGGCCCATGCTGCCCAAGCCACACCATCGGCAGAGCGGTCTCTTGTGTTCATTCAAAGGGGATAGGTGTGTCTATCCCTTTTGTGTCGTGTTCTACCTTGTGAGGTGTGCCTAGCCTGTCCCTTAGGTTCTGCCTTGCATTGTCTGTCCCGCATGTTCCGTGCTGTTTGTATCGTCCGCCTTGCCCGTCGCCTCATTTGTCCGCATTACCAGCGCGGGTGTAGCACTGCCGGGCAACCCCCCACGCAACCGACTACTGCGTGGGGAGGCCTTCATCCAGCAGTGGATTGACAAAGGGGCCGTGCATTTGTGACGCCGCCGGGGGTCCCCCCCCCCCCCCCGCCCCCACACTGACGTGGCACGCGTGTGGTGTTTGTGCGCCTCAAGTGACGAGTTGACCCTGGAGGGTATCAAGCAGTTCTTCGTGGCCGTGGAGCGCGAGGAGTGGAAGTTCGACACCCTGTGCGACCTCTATGACACGCTCACCATCACCCAGGCCGTCATCTTCTGCAACACCAAGCGCAAGGTGCCTTCCCCCCCCCCTTCAAGCGATGATGCACTGGGCGGCAGGGTGGCGCAGCGGGTGACGTGCTTGTCTTGCGTGCACGTCGATTCCCGATTGGGGCGCCTTCCTGCGTCCGGTTTGTCCCTTCTCCCCCTGTTCCTGCATGGGTTTACGCACATAGCTAAAAAACAAACTACACAATCTCACTGGTATTGTGGCCAGACATCCCAATGCTGAAAGAATTACCTACAAAATACGGGGTCAAAACATCGCTGTTACCTGGCTTGACCACCTGAACGTGAAAAGAGAAGATTAGCGACTTGATCATAATAACAACCAACAAGGCAGCAAGCCAGTCTGTTAAGGGAGCTTATGTTTTGTTAGTGGATTGGAGGGTAGAAATTTGAGGGATCCATTTCCCATGGTAAATGTTTTTATACCCCCCCCTCCCCTCATCACTATTGCAATGGTTTAATCCTCTTCCCCCGCTCCCCGCCACCGCATGGCGCAGGTGGACTGGCTGACGGAGAAGATGCGCGAGGCGAACTTCACGGTCTCCAGCATGCACGGGGACATGCCACAGAAGGAGCGCGACACCATCATGAAGGAGTTCCGCTCCGGTGCCAGGTGAGGTGCCCCGCCCCCTGCTCCCCCCCCCCACAACCCCCCCGCCTCTGCTCCCCCCCACCACTCCCCCCCCACTGCCCCGCCCCTGCTCCCCCGCTCCCCCCCCCACCGCTCCCCCACCCCCCCCCACCGCTCCCCCACCCCCCCACAACTACCCCGCGTCTTCTCCTCCCCCCACCAACCCCCCCCCCCCCGCTGCCCCCCCCTTGCTCCCCTGCCCCGCCGCCCAGCGAGCGTCAAGCTGATGATGGCTCAGCCAAGCGCTGCCCGCCAGGCCTGGGCACTGCTCGACTTCACCTGATCCGATGAGCTCGGGGGGGTTTCTCGTACGTACGTTGAACTTCGTTGGCGTCGTACGTAGCCAACCGTGCTCATCTCGGAGGTGCGGGGGTGGCAGGACAATAAACTAAACAGAAAAATCACTTCTGAAGAAATGAGTTTGTGTTGTGAGACAGCGCTGGATTGTGTTCCCACGAGGCATTGGTGTTAGTGCGTTGGCGTGTGTCTGTGTGTACCGCGTGTGTGTGTGTGTGTGCCTGTGCGTCCTATGCGTGCGTGTGTGTGCGTGTATTTGTTTGTGCGTGCATGTGTTCACGTCACGTGCATCTGTGTGTACGTGTGTTTGCATGTTGGCAGAGTGGGGAGCACAGCTGGTGCATCTGTCAGTCATCTCAGGCAGTTAGCCCATAACACCTCTGACCTGCTCGCGAGCCTTCGACGGCATTACGTGGACTCAAAGCGCACCTTGCCTGGCGCAATCGTTTTGGAGGCGTGATTGCCACTTCGTGGTGAATGGCGGCTGCTGCTGCTGCTATACGCATGTGTCTGCGTTTGTCCCCGCGTGCATCTGTACGTCTGCGTGCGTGCAGCCGTGTGCTGATCTCCACGGATGTGTGGGCCCGCGGTCTCGACGTGCCCCAGGTCTCCCTCATCATCAACTACGACCTCCCCAACAACCGCGAGCTCTACATCCACAGGTACCCGTCCCGGCAGCGCCTCGCCGTCGCGTACTCCTGCACAACACGCGCAGTGATTCACTGCGCAAAGATTAAAGTCGATGAGCATTTGGAAATTGGTTCACATCTCGCATTTGACAGCCCTAAGGCAGTGTCGGAAATTCCACATTCCTATGGCGGGGAGCGTGTTTATGCATAGGACAGCCACCGCTGACGTCCCCACAGAGTGGTCCTCATTGCAAGCCAGGACAACAAGCAGGTTTCATAGGCGACGTGACGATTTATGTAAATCTCTATTAATCCGTTGTTTAATTATCAGCTGGAATTTAGCCCAATTAGGTCGACAATCAAACACAATGCTATGGAGGTTTTTTTCCTGCAGTTGTTGGTGAGCGGCCTTAGACCGTCGATCAACTCGCCAGACTTGAGAACGCGGCTAAATCACAGGGCGGCAACACGGTGGCTAGGGGATGTGATCTTCCTTGCCTGGTACACAGGCGGTTGTGGGTTCGATCCCAACCCTGATGCCTGTATATGAGCGCCTGAATGTTCTCTCCCCGTGGTGGCGTGGATTTTCCTCCGGGTCCTCCGGTGTTTCCGCATTTAAAGGCAACATGCGTTCAGAGTATTTGGCTGCTACAAATTTCCACACGATGATGATGATGCTAAGCCACTTTGTTGAGCTGTCATTTGTAATATCCAGGTCACTTCTGAAAAATAGATAAATAGCTCCGTGGAGCTTACCTGGTAAAATAAAAAAAATGTTCATAGTACATCCAATATATAGGTTTTTTTGGCTTAGATCACTTAAAAATAAATGTGTCAAACCCACCATCACCTGATACAGCCAATTAGTAAGGTTTGTCACATAAACAGAACGTGCCAATTAGTTACTAGTACAGCACACGGGTGTGTTAGAGAGCAAATCCACAACATTTACAATGTGAGTGCGAAGTTTTGCCAGCAATTACAACTAACATCATCAGGCGGACACAAATCTGGCTGCCCGTCTGATGATGCCGGTTGTAATCACTGACGAAACGTCGCACGATCAGATTGTGAATGTTGTGGCTTGGCTCTCCAACACGCCGGTGCTGGCTCGGCGCCGTGACCTCCACTCGTGAAATATTTTTTTAACGAAAACCCGACGGTGCTTTCCGCCCGCAGGATTGGCCGATCGGGCCGCTACGGCCGCAAAGGTGTGGCCATCAACTTCGTGAAGAACGACGACATCCGCATCTTGCGCGACATCGAGCAGTACTACTCGACGCAGATCGACGAGATGCCCATGAACGGTAAGGGGGGGGGGGGGGGCGCCTGCCGACGCTGCCGTTGAAGGCCCGTTAGTCGCTCTCCGCTGCTGGATGAAGTCCCCCCACCTCCCCGCCCACGCCGTGTCGCTCGTAGACGTCGTTTGACCGTACTTCACCGTGCTGGTCAGGCACTACGACGAGACGTAACGTGCAGGACAGACGACGTAAATAAGACGATTTGTGCGAGGTCGGGACGTTGCTTTGGGATGCGCCCGCACTTGGGTAAAGGTGCAGCCCTGCAATACATTTCATACGCCGCTGCCGGCGCAAAGGCCTCCACTTAAGGAAGCTCAAGAGAGCCCCTCGATCGGTTACTTGGCCTACTCTTCCACCCGGCATACATCTAGGAAGAGGTGTGAGTACCCACACTTCACCCCACCAGACACGACCTCCTGTCTGTGGTGAACTCATACGGCTGGTTGGGTAGAGGCCTGGGGTGGGGGTCACTTTCATGAACCTGCAACTGCCGTGCAGGGAGATGGAACCGGTGTAACTCTGGGTTGCAAGTCCATCGGACAAACCGTCACATGCTCTTCCGATATTAGGGTGATGCAGTTTTAAATCTATTGATTGAGAACTAATTTCTTTAGAACTACTTTTTGTGTTTAGTTTGTTGTCCTTCGCCCCCCCCCCCCGCACCTCCGATTAGCACGGTTGGCTGCGTAACGGCACAAAAGAAGTTCAGCATTCATACCACATACGTACTACATACACACCACTTGCTAAATCCCACATTTGTTCTGTTCTTCTCCACAGTGGCCGATCTCATCTAAGAAGAGCGTTCCATCGGCGGCGGTGGCGCTGGGCCATCAGAATCGTCCCTCCGCTCGCTCGCTAATCCCCGACCCCTCTTGGCAGCGCCCGCATCTGCCCAGCGCGTTCGTTTTCGTTTGGTTTGTCTGTCTTGTTTTTACATTTTAGGGGGGCCATCTGGGGGTCTCCACTTGGCTCTGTGTCGTTCAGTAGACATTCAGTCCAACTGCCTCGCCACGTGTGCATTGGCCGAGGATGCAAACATGGAATGTAGATGAGAAATTGTTAGGCAGCAGCACGGTGTCACAAGCCAGAATTCCACATGCACAACTCCTAGCCTCTGTTGCCCGATGTGTTTGTGTGTGGTGTTGGGTGGGGTGGGTGTCGCTCTGGTCAGGCATTTGGGGGGCCCCTCGTCGTGAGATAACGATGTGTTCACGTCTCGGTGTAGCTGGGTTAACACTGTGGGCGTGTTGCACCGTCGCCAGCAACACTCACAACCCATCATCGCTACACCATCATCGGCTCTCGGCATCATCGTCAATATCGTGACTCGGCACCGCCCTGAGAACTCAATTGTCCTCAACACCACCACCTTCGTCGTTAACAACACTCGCCACGACCATCAGTTGTCAAAACACACAACACCTTCATCGTCGCAGTTTTGGGTGTCGACAACATGAGCTTTAATGTGACAGGACTGCGTCGCTCCCCCGAGGCCTCGGTGTTGGCATCGCAGTCCCACGCAGACAGCGCGCCATCGGCGGAGGGAGCACACGCCCACACCGACACCGCGGCATCGTAGAGCACACGACGCGCTCCGTGTGAAGGCGCGCCGCGGGAGATGGCAGAAGACGCCCACACAGACAACTGTCTCGGCGGGGCCAACGAGGACGCGCGCACACGGGCAATGCAGTTGTCAAATATACGAGGCCGATGCCTTCACAGGGCGCAGCCTGAGCGAGAGAGCTCATTGGCAGACCAAGATCGGTGAAGTAACACGCAGCGGACGATCACGCTCTCGCAGACGAGAACAATTCGGTACGACCCATCGATAAGCCACTTTCGCTGAGAGCAATGTAAAACACGCGTGCTCACGGGAGCAATGTGGAACACGTCGATTAACACGCTCGCGAACGAGGGCAACGTCGGGGGATGCACACTATCGACAAAACCCGTTCCCGCGAACTCTGGGTGAAGCCGGCCTCGCCCCCGATCACGCCACTGAAATAATAATAACCCGAGAAATGTGCACATCCAGCCGCCATCACCACCACCATCACCATCCATGCCAACCTCGCCACCATCACCATCCTTGCCACCACCACCGCACTGATTCACATCAGTGGCCAGTAACGTAAAAAAATCTGTCTTGGCCTCGTGGAGATTTCACTTTTATATTAAACCGCGTGGACTGGTTTTAGGCCCAGCGTTACCATAAATGGAATTTCTAACCCACGTAAGAATTCCTTCTCTTGAAAATAATACCTTGTAATAAACATGTCATTTTGTTATCCATCATGTGGCTCGCGTGTGTGTTTTGCCCATTGCATGCAGGATATGATGCATCAGTAATTAAAAGGTCTCCCAACTCGTACATTATAGGCACCTCTCGCCGCAGCTTTAGTCCGTGGTCCGGAGCAGATATTCGTACCACTCAAGGTCGCAAAAGTGTACTCGTACCAATGTATTTATACGGTAACCCCACTCGCCCCAAGTGGTTATCGCATTATTCACCGTAATTGGCCACAGAGATTGGAACAGCCAAGGCTGTGCACCCTCGAGCTCAGGTGGCGCCCGCAAGTGAAACACCTCACGGGTGCCACCTGCCGTGGGGCGCCACGGTGGCGAGATGCTACTTCGCCTGGCACCTACAATGTCCTAGGTTCGATCCCGACCCTAACGCCTGTATATTGGGAGTTTGCGTGTTCTCCCCGTGGTTGCATGGATTTTTCTCCGGGTCCTCCGGTTTTTCCCTCCACATTTACAAACGTGTTTTAGATTATTTTAGGTTGCGATACATTTATTTCCACGTGAATCGCAACTTCGTTGAGCTATAGTTTGTGACAGCCAGGTCGCTTCTGAAAAATAGCTGTTTTATTCTGCAGGTGAAAAATGTTTTTGTGGTAAAATAAAAAAAAAAGTTTCAATCTGGGCTCGTGGACAAATTGTACAAAATGTAACCGGTTGAAATCTGGACAAACCCGTGGTGTGTTGCGGTCGTGAGGATTTGGAATGGGGCGATGACGTGCTTCTCGGTGCTGGCAAGTGGCAACCTCGCATTCCTCTGTTTACATTGAGCTCATTTGAGAAAATGGACCGTTTGTGTTGCGTGCGAGCAGAATGCGCCGTGCCCCGCAGCCCTCCGGCGGTTGACAGAACGTGGTGGTAGCCGCCTGGCCTGCATACCCCAGCCGTGGCATGCGCTCGTGATCTCAACTCGTCATGCCGCCGCACAGAATTCCCTCTTGTTAGCGAGGGTGACTCGGGGATGAACCGCAGCCAAGGCGGCGTGAGAGCCGGCACCACCGAGAATTTTTGCCCAAGCTTTGCCGCCCACTGGATATTGAGATGTTTTCAGCCGAATGAATGAGCTTCGATTTTTTTGGAGGAAACCCACGTGAGCGAGCGAGCGAGCGAGGAAGCAACCCTTTCTCATCCCACGCGAGAAGGAACAGTCCTGGAAAACCACAGCTCCGGCACTTGGACGCCCACGGGAGAATATTTGTTCACAACAAATGTTGCCATCCTACAACCCTCCCCGCTTGGCAGGCTACGTGCACACACAGCCAGCTTCGCTTCACCTCCGATTAGCGCGGTTGGATACGTGCAGTGCGAAAGAAGTTCATCATACGTGCACATACATGTACACGTATGTACACACAGGTCTTCAGGCGAGAGAGACCCTGGGGAAACTGCGCTAATTGTGTCGCTGTTTAGGGAACGCGCACTTATTTCGTCGTGCGTGATGACGTAACTCGCACTCCATTGACTCGTGCGTGATGACGTCACCTCGCCGGCTGCCCCACTTGCGCCGACGTCGGCGGGGTGGGGGGAGAAACCGTCGTGCGTGATGACGTCACCTCGCCGGCTGCCCCACTTGCGCCGACGTCGGCGGGGTGGGGGGAGAAACCGTCGTGCGTGATGACGTCACCTCGCCGGCTGCCCCACTTGCGCCGACGTCGGCGGGGTGGGGGGAGAAACCGTCGTGCGTGATGACGTCACCTCGCCGGCTGACCCACTTGCGCCGACGTCGGCGGGGTGGGGGGAGAAACCGTCGTGCGTGATGACGTCACCTCGCCGGCTGCCCCACTTGCGCCGACGTCGGCGGGGTGGGGGGAGAAACCGTCGTGCGTGATGACGTCACCTCGCCGGCTGCCCCACTTGCGCCGACGTCGGCGGGGTGGGGGGAGAAACCGTCGTGCGTGATGACGTCACCTCGCCGGCTGCCCCACTTGCGCCGACGTCGGCGGGGTGGGGGGAGAAACCGTCGTGCGTGATGATGTCACCCGACGACTTCGCGCGCGCGCGCGATTCCGAACGAACTCGTGGGTGCGTGATGACGTCAGGAGGTGAGGCGGGAACGTGCTGACGTCACGACGCCGGCATTAAAAACTTAGGGAGGGTGCGGGGGTTGCGGTTGTTGGGAGGACGGGGGGGGGGGTTGGGGGGGGCGGGGGTTGGGGGGTGGGAGGGGGCGGGGGGGGTTGGGGGGGGCGGGGGTTGGGGGGTGGGAGGGGGGGGGCGGGGGTTGGGGGGTGGGAGGGGGCGGGGGGGGTTGGGGGGGGCGGGGGTTGGGGGGTGGGAGGGGGGGGGCGGGGGTTGGGGGGTGGGAGGGGGCGGGGGGGGTTGGGGGGAGGGTTGGGGGGAGGGTTGGGGGGGGCGGGGGGGTGGGGTTGGGGGGGGCGGGGGGGGGGTTGGGGGGGGCGGGGGGGGGGTTGGGGGGGGGGTTGGGGGGGGCGGGGGGGGGTTGGGGGGGGCGGGGGGGGGTTGGGGGGGGGCGGGGGGGGTTGGGGGGGGGCGGGGGGGGTTGGGGGGGGGCGGGGGGGGTTGGGGGGGGCGGGGGGGGTTGGGGGGGGGCGGGGGGGGGCGGGGGGGTTGGGGGGGGCGGGGGGGGTTGGGGGGGGCGGGGGGGGTTGGGGGGAGCGGGGGGCTGGGGGGGCGGGGCGTGGTGATGACGACGGCGGCGATGACGACGATGATGGCCGCCGCGATGGCGGCCCCTGCTCCGTGCGCGTCTCAGCAGCGAGCCCCGCGCGGCGCGGGAGCGCGGCGCCTCCCGTGAGGAGGAGGAAGAGGGCGGTGGTGAGGAGGGCGGTGGTGGTGGTGAGGAGGAGGAGGGTGGTGGTGGAGCTCGCGCGCCTGTGCGTGCGTGAGGGGGAGGAGGAGTAGGCGGCGGTGGTGGTGGTTGTTGTTGTGAGGCTGAGGAGGGAGGCCGTGAGAGAGGCGATGCTGTCGCGCAAGAAGAGTCGACACGAGGCGAGCAAACCCAGCGAGGTGCAGGGACGATACCTGAAGCGGGAGGCGGCGCCTTTCCTCAGGAGTGAGTCGTGTGGTGTGTCCTGTGGTGTGTGCGTCTTGTGTGTGCTCTGTGTCTCGTGTGTCTGTGGTATCTGTGGTATGTGCGTTCTGTGTGTTTCCGTGTATGTGTGTGGTATGTGCGTCTTGTGTGTGTGCCTCTTGTGTGTGTCTGTGGTATGTGTGTGTGTCTGTGGTACGTGTGTCCCGTGTGTGTGTCCTGTGGTACGTGTGTGTGTCTGGTACGTGTGTGTGTGTTGTACGTGTGTGTGTCTGTTGTACGTGTGTCCTGTATGTGTCCCGTGTGTGTGTGTCTGTTGTACGTGTGTCCTGTATGTGTCCCGTGTGTGTGTGTCTGTGGTTCGTGTGTGTCCCGTGTGTGTGTCCTGTGGTACGTGTGTGTGTGTCTGTTGTACGTGTGTCCTGTATGTGTCCCGAATGTGTCCCGTGTGTGTGTGTGTCTGTGGTTCGTGTGTGTCCTGTGGTATGTGACCTGTATGTGTGTCCTGTATGTTTCTCTGTGCGTGTCCCGTGGTATGTGTGTCTTGTGTATATCTACCTTGTGTCTGTGACGTGCGTGTGTTCTGTGTATGTGTCGTATGTATCTTGTTTGTGTGTCCCGTGTGTGTTTTTTCTCTGTGTGTTTCGTGTGTATATCCTGTGCATGTCTGATGTCTGTCCTCGGTGTGTGTCCTGTGGTGTGTGTGTCTCTGCCTTGTGTGTGTCTGCCTTGTGTGTGTGGCCTGTGTATGTGTCGAATGTATGTTGTGTGTGTCCTGTGTGTTTTGTGTGTTTGTGTCCTGTGGTGTGTGTGTCTATCGTGTGTGTGTTTGTTAACTTGTGTTGGTATTGTGTGTCTGTGTGTTAACTTGTGTTGTGTTGCTATTGTGTATGTGTGTTAATCTGTGTTGTGTGTCTGTGTTAACTTGTGTTGTGTTGATATTGTGTGTCTGTGTGTCGTGTCAGGCAACTTGAAAAGGGAAATGCACAGCCTTAGGATTGTGTTTGTTGCGTGTTCAAATCGGTGTGTTGTGTATTGTGTTGTGTGTTGTATTGTGTGGTGTGTTGTGTCTGCTCATTGTTGTGGGGAGCGGTGGCGCTACGAACACCGGCCATCATAGGTACTCGCTAACAGCACTTGCCCCCACAGTCTGTGAAGGCTATACGGGGGATCTTTGTCTTTGTGCAGGTGTGTGTGCGTACCTGTGTGTGTGTTGTTAGTGTGGTGTGTGTTATGGTTGTGTTGGTTGTGTATGTGTTTGTGTGGTGTGTGTTATGGTTGTGTATGTGTGTGTTTGTGTGGTGTGTGTTATGGTTGTGTATGTGTGTGTTTGTGTGGTGTGTGTTATGGTTGTGTTTGTGTGGTGTGTGTTATGGTTGTTTGTGTGGTGTGTGTTATGGTTGTGTATGTGTGTGTTTGTGTGGTGTGTGTTATGGTTGTGTGTGTTTGTGTGGTGTGTATTATGGTTGTGTGTGTTTGTGTGGTGTGTGTTATGGTTGTGTATGTGTGTGTGTTTGTGAAGTGTTGCGCATCAATTACCTTAGGGGTAGCGGTTCCCCTTCTTGTATGATGTGTTTCGCTGTTCTGTTGACCCTGTGCTTCTGTCGACCGTGCTTGCGTGTAGTGTTTGTTTGTGTTTATTTGTGTATCTCGTGCGAGTGGTGCTTGTGGCTGTTCGCCGTTTTCGTTCATCAGCACATGTACACGGTCTGCCTTGTGTTGTCGATTGCGCGTTTTGTTGTGTATTTACGTTGCGTACTGTGTGTTCGCGTGTTGTGTTCCTGTTTGTACCCTGTGTGCGTCTTGGCATTGTGTATTTGCCTTGTGCTTCTTGTGTTTTCCATGATACATGGTATGTGACCCAGTTAACGTCTAAATAACAATGCGCTGATTTTTGTTACAATTAACGTGTCATTTTATTTGTACAGGAACGCCTCCCCAAAGTCTAGGGACATTTTCAGAAAGTCCCACACTCAGATATTCGGCCAATGTGTGTGTTTTGCTTCCATGTGGCAGGAACCGTGAGGAGGTGGCAATAACCGTTCATGATTTTTTTTTTATTTGACCAGCTAAGGCCCACTAAGCTTTATATAGATTTTTTTTTTAGAAGCGACCTAGTTATGACAAATGTGGAAATTTATAGCGGCCGAATACTCTAAATGCGTGATGGTGATTCTAAATGCGGAGGGCAAAACCGGACGACCCGGAGAATATTCCACGCGACCACGGCGGGAGAGACACGCAGACTCCAAATATACAGCAGGCGTCAGGGTCGGGATCGAACTCATGAGATTCAAAGATCCGCACAGATGGGTTCACAAACCCAACACGGTCAGCCAAACCCTTGCTCGTCTACAAGCCCGTGCAACGGTGCACTTGTAAGCTGTTTCCACGCACACGCACAGACCTTTTGTCAATCCGCTGCTGGATGATGGTCTCCGGATACTTGACCAAGCACCCCCACACCTCTATGACGATGGTGCTCTGAGCCAGGGTGGGATGGGGGGAACTTTTACTTTACTGAGGGGTCGAATGGGACCTTTGGTGGGCAACCAGCCATTACCAGACGGCGTTATCCGACAAACCACATGAGAAGCGGCTCGCCTTTGCCGTGCGAGTGCGATAGCCGGCGTCTGCTTCCCTCTCGTTAACACCGCGGTAAAGTCAACGCGTGACGCGACGTCGCACAGTGTTCGCTCGCTCTCGAAGAGAGAGAGAAGGGACGACCTTAGAGGCACTGAGGAGGGTCCAGAATCAGAATATTTATACTGGAGGAATCCGATGAGCTATAAAGCTCTTTTTCCAGCAGAACCGCAGACGGGGTGGGAAGGCAGCAGCCACGCGATGAGCCGGTGTCATTGTGTGGGTTTTTTTATTTACGGGAATAAACCAGAGAACCCGGATAACAGGGGGAGAACATACTAATTCCACACGGCAAGGCGCCCGTGTCAGGGATCCAACCCAGGCACTTCTTGCCGTGAGGCACGAGCGTCTCCGCTGCCGCCAGCAGCCGCCCTGTCGTGCAAAATTCAGGCCGAAGGTTTTCCTTCCTCCGCTGCGGCGCTTCCAATGCGCGCATCTCTCTCTCGCTTGTGCCGCCCCCCCTTCCCCCCCGTCTACCCCCCTCCCCCGCAGACCTCATGCCCTCGTTCATCCGGCACGGCCCCACCATCCCGCGGCGTGCCGAGGCGGGCGCGGCACCGTCCGGTTACGGCGCCCAGGACGGCGCCGGCAACGCCGTCGTCTCGTCGTCCGCGGGTGGCGGCGGTGGCGCCGGCGTCTCGCGGAACACCAGCTTCCTGAGGGGGGGCCAAGCCACGGAGAGCGGCTGGCGGGAGCACCGGCGGACGCCCCCCCACGGCGCCTACAGCTATGGAGCGGCGGCGGTGGCGCCGCGGGAGTACGGTGAGGAGAGCGCCGGCGTGAGTTCGCGAGGCGGGGGGGCGGAGCGAGAGAGGATTGTGCGTGCGCGTGATCGTGAGAGAGTTTCTGTTACAAGCCCATGACGGGTTCGCCTGGGATTCGCCCGACCTTGTCGGAGCCGGAAGCCAAGCAGGTTCCGGCCTGCATGGCGCTTGGATTTTAGCGAGCGACCGTTGTGCGTAAAGCAGGCGGTGCGAGGCTGCAGTGGAGCTATGTTGCTGCTGCTGCTGCTGTTGTTGTTGTTGCGATTACGCTTGTTTACCCAGCAAAGCCTCGCTGAGTGTCAAGATTCCTTTCAGGAGGTCTCCTGCCAAGTTTTCGTAGCACGTTGCGATGCTGCTGCTGTTGTGTGATCCCGATTGAGTAATTTGTGGGTAACTTTTCAAGTTTGGATGGTCACGACGGCACACGATGGCCGATTCGTGCGTGGCATCGGGCAGCACTGCCAATATCCATTGATTAACCGTGCCACAACGTCGCTTCTGCACTGGGCAGCGTGGTGAAGTACGGTCATACAGCTCCCGTGACCTGCACGGCATTGAATAAGCCCTCAACCAGCAGAGGATCGACAAAAGAGCCGTACTCTAAATGTAAATGATCTCTCTCATTGTGACCCCCGATGCCAGAGGGAAAAACAATAAAACGCACGCTCACATTTCATTGATTGAAAAATAACTCGGTGTTTTGCGCACGGCGCACAGCTTCATGGCGATCGTTAGAAATCTACTTGAATCGATCGTAACGGATACGTTGTGGATAGCCTGTAAGCAGCGACATGTGGAGGAGGCAGGTCGGTGGTGTCACAAAGTCTTTCCATCGTCTCGGAGGCGGGGACGTGAGCGTGTTCGCCCGACGTAAGCTTCACCGTCTGATGACGCTGGGTGTCGTCTCCAGAGAAACTTCGAGCAAAAATGTTTAAATTCTGCTCGCTTATCAACGATTTTGCTGAAGAAACAGCTGATCGGGGCACATTTGCCTACGACGTGTCAACGTAATGTGATTGGCTCTGTTGGGGTGGCAGACGTTATAGTCAAGACAAACCGCAATTATACACTACGCGACGACGATCTAACCCAAAATAAACTAATTTGGATCATAATATTTGGTTGTGAAAGCCTCCGCGTCACATCAAGGCGCTCGAGGCTTCTCCAAGAATGACAAAATCATTATTAAACATTGTTATTATTTCCCGCACCTCCAACTGTCACGGTTAGCTATGTATGGTGCGAAAGAAGTTCAGCATACAGCGCATACGTACAGGTGGCTGAAACCTGGGTTCACAACCCAGGATCTTAAAGGTGCCAGCCCACAGCTCTGACCTCGGAGCCTAAACTAAACTTTTTTTGTTATTTTACCAGGTAAAGCCCACTGAGCTATGTAGCTCTTTTTTAGAAGCGACCTGGCCACAAACAATAGCTCACCGAAGTGGCTTATCACGTGGAAATGTATAGCAACCAAATACTCTATACGTGTGATGTACGATTCTAAATGTGGTGGGAAAAACCAGAGGATCTGGAGAAAAATCCACGAGATCACGGAGAAAGAGAGAGACGCGCAACCTCCAAATATACAGCAGCAGGCGTCCGGGTCAGGTTCGGCCCCACGACCTGCTGTATACCAGGCGAGGTAGTTAACATCTCCTAGCCACCGCGGCAACCTTGGTCACCCGGCCAATCACCCCACACCACAGACGACCGTTTGAGTGGCGGCCCCCGTGACCCCGTGCTCCGCGTGCGATTCAGACTACGTCGCCGCCGACCAGCAGGGAGAGAACGGCTCCGACGGTGCCCACTACCTCTACCCCGCCGACCCCTACTACGCCGACGAGGGCCCGCAGAAGCAGCCGGCGCCGCAGACGCACCGGCGCGTGCCGCCCGACCCCTACCAGGACGACTACCGCGGCGGCGGCGCCGGGGCCTACAGCGAGGCCTACCAGCCGGCGGAGCAGTACGGCGCCTCCGCCGGCGCCGTGGGGCCGCCGGGCGACCCGTACGGCGTGCAGGCGCGGTGGGGGCCCGGTGCCGCGCAGCGCAGGCCGCAGCAAGGTACGCCGACAGCCTACGGCCCCGTGACGGAAGTGCCGTGCAGCGTTCCCTCGTTATTCGCGACGAGGGATACTTTTTTTATGAATTACCTTAAGTAAATACGTATATAAGTTATTAAATACATACAAATCGTAATATCTCTCTCATCACTTTCTTTCTCTCTCTTGATGCAGTAGTCATGTTCCAGATGCTATTCGCGGACAGCCATAATCATGGACAGCGAGTTTGCTGTCCATGATTATGGCTGTGGGATTGCCGTACGGAGTCGCAGATGCCATCATCGCACCTCCGACCTGACCGTTTGTCGAGCGGCGGGCTGATGGGCTGGTGGGCTGATGGACTGCCCTGTTTATTGACGTCCTCCTCTCTCACAGGGCAGCCCCGGTCGGTCGTGAGCGCCCAGTCGGTGAGAAGCCTCGCGTCGGCCTCTGCTTCGCAGCAGCAGCAGCAGCAGCAGCTGCCACCGCCTGGCTCGGCCGGTCCGCCAGGTCCCGACGATCTCCCGCTGCCGCCGGGCTGGACGGTGGACTGGACGATCCGCGGGCGCAGGTGAGCACGCTGCAGTTCGTGCCGTGGAGGTTGTTTTGAATTGGTCGCCGCGTCCACGCCTGTTCAACCCTTCTCCCTTCCGAGACGTCAGCAGGGTGGTGGGGGTCCTGTTCACCGCTAGATCTCGGAACGCGCGAGTGGGCTCAGGGTTCATTTTATTTAGAGAAGCGTAGTTGCGCCGCTGTTTTTAAAGACGTTGTTACTCACCGCAGAGAACTGTAGTGACACGACCACACTCTGTGATCGCTGGTGCCAAACTGTGCCACTCGTAACCTCCCTCGTGGCCTTCTACTTCCGTCATCGGAACAGGGAAAGGATAAACTGCCGTGGTGGCGTTTACATTGCTATCAACCCATACGGCCTACCCTGTATTCTTGTACAGGGAAATTTAATTGTCAGGTCCATAGGACGCACAGCCGTTTCAATACGGGGAAAAAAATGCCTATTTGTTTGTGTTTCTCCCTTGAGATGGGACTTTGTTGGGTGAACGTTGAGATTCATAAGGGGCACGGGGTGACCAACAGGGTCTGAATTAGCCTGTTACGAGGTCGGGTACTGGGTTGACAGGCTCGTGTTTGCTGCGCTCCCTCACAGGTACTACATCGACCACAACACGAACACCACTCACTGGAGCCACCCGCTGGAGAGGGAGGGGCTGCCCCCGGGCTGGGAGCGCGTCGAGTCACCCGAGTTCGGCCTCTACTACGTGGACCACGTCAACCGCAAGGCGCAGTACCGGCACCCTTGCGCACCTAGGTCCGCTCCGACGTAAAACGAGTGTGTGCGCGTGTGTGTTCACTTGTGTGGGGGGGCGGCAGTGCAGCGGTTAGCGCTACGAACCTGGCGACCCGAGTTCGATTCCCGCTCACGGCCAAGATCAGTGACGATTATTGAACCGGTCCTGGGCCACCCCTAGGTCGACTGAGCCTCAAATGAGTTCCTGGTGTGGTGCGTAAAAACATCGACACTGGTGAGAACAAGGCGGCCTTCATAGGTGCTCGCTAACAGCACTTGCCCCAAAAGTCTGTTAAGGCTATATGGGGGATCTTTGCATACCTGTCAAGCTGTGGTGGTGGTGGTGTTGGTTGTGGTGGTAGTGTTGGTTGTGGTGGTAGTGTTGGTTGTGGTGGTGTTGGTTGTGGTGGTGGTGGTGGTTGTGGTGGTGGTGTTGGAACAGCTATGGTGGTGGTCATCAGTGTATTTGTTGGTACGGTTGAGGTGGTGGTGTTTGTTAGTGGGGTTTGTGTATGTTGTTGGTGGCGTTGTTGTTATGACTGTTAACACAGACAACAACAACCGCCATTCACCACTAAGTGGCGGTGACGTCACCAAGGCGCTTGTGCCAGGCAATGTGCACCTTAAGGCCACGTGAAGTGTCGAACGCCCGCTGGCAGGAGGTCACGGGGCAGACTCAGGTGCCATGGGTTGACTGACTGAGATGACTGGCTGATGCACCACCTGTAACAAACACACACAGGGCTGCACTTTATTTTCACTGTTAGCCATTCCTTCGGTCTGTGCGGCAAGCCGCAATCGTTTTGCGATCGTTTTCTATTTGCTTACGATCCATCGGCGATACTAACACACAAGTAAATTAACCACCCTGGTTTGAGCCAAGGTCTTGCCGTTGGGCAGAGGGCTGTCGAGAGCTACTGCCCCCCCCCCCCCCCCGCTGCGGGAGCCGCTGCGTTTCCCAGCCCGCCGGGTTGGTAACGCCTCGTGCCTCGCCGCAACAAGGACTTGGGTTCGATCCGCGTGGAGTTTGTTCTCCCCCGGTTCGACGCAGTGTGAATGAGTGAGTGTGTGTGAGAGTGAGTGTGTGTGAGTGTGTGTGAATGAGTGAGAGTGTGAGTGTGAGAGAGTGTGCGCGTGTGTGAGAGTGTGTGAGTGTGCGCGTGTGTGAGAGAGAGTGTGTGAGTGTGCGCGTGTGTGAGAGTGAGTGTGTGTGTGAATGAGTGTGTGTGTGTGTTTGTGAGTGTGTGAGTGTGTGAATGAGTGAGTGTGTGAGTGTGTGAATGAGTGAGTGTGTGAGTGTGAGAGTTTGTGAGTGTGTGAGTGTGAGAGTTTGTGAGTGTGTGAGTGTGAGAGTTTGTGAGTGTGTGAGAGAGAGTGTGTGAGTGTGTGAGTGTGTGAGAGTGAGTGTGTGTGTGAATGAGTGTGTGTGTGTTTGTGAGTGTGCGAGTGTGTGAATGAGTGAGTGTGTGAGTGTGTGAATGAGTGAGTGTGTGAGTGTGAGAGTTTGTGAGTGTGAGAGTTTGTGAGTGTGTGAGTGTGAGAGTTTGTGAGTGTGTGAGAGAGAGTGTGTGAGTGTGTGAGTGTGTGAGAGTGAGTGTGTGTGTGAATGAGTGTGTGAGTGTGTGAATGAGTGAGTGTGTGAGTGTGAGAGTTTGTGAGTGTGTAAGAGTGAGTGTGTGTTTGTGAGTGTGTGAGTGTGTGAATGAGTGAGTGTGTGAGTGTGTGAATGAGTGAGTGTGTGAGTGTGTGAATGTGTGAGTGTGTGAGTGTGTGAGTGTGTGAGTGTGTGAGAGTTTGTGAGTGTGTGAGAGTTTGTGAGTGTGTGAGAGTTTGTGAGTGTGTGAGAGAGAGTGTGTGAGTGTGTGAGAGTGAGTGTGTGTTTGTGAGTGTGTGAGAGAGCGAGTGCGGTGGAATTTGTTTGTTCTCTCCCTGTTCTGCGTGGGCTCGCTCCGGGTTTTTCCAGTCTCTTCCCATATGTACAAAAACACACACACATACTCGCACAATGTGACTGGAATTGAGCAAACATACTGCTGAAGTATAACCGACAAATTACTCAGTTGGGATCACAGACAGCAGAAGCATCGCCCCCTACTGTGAAAACTTGACAGGACCCTCCTGAAAAATGGTCATGAGTGTGAGGCTTTCCGAGGTGAACGAGCGAAATCATCATTGTAATAATAATTGGTCAGCAACAACAAAGTGGCAAGGGAGAACGCAACTTTGGTTTGCGACGTTCGCGTAACCACCGCCGTCGTGCTCCGTCGTTGCTCCGCAGCATCCTGCGCTACGACCAGCCTCCGCCCATGCGCGCGTTGCCGCCGATGCTCTACAACGCCCAGCCGCCGGTGCGGAGCCAGCCAGTGCTGGTGCCGGCCAACCCCTACCACAGTGCCGAGATCCCCGAGTGGCTGCTGGTGTACGCGCACGCCCCGCACGAGTAAGAGCTCACTCGCGACAAGAAAGAAACCGGCTCGCGCGGCGCACGTCCGTTTGGGCGCTCGCCCGCGCGTATGAAGTATTTCTCGCCAAATCGATTGATCCATCGTTTGCGCTTATGTACGCTCGCTCGTTTCCACGCTCGCTCACTCGCGCGCTTGCTCGCACGGTGACCACCACCTTCACGACCTGTACCATTATCAACACCACCACCCGCACCACCATCACAACCAACCACCATCATCACGACCACCACCATGTTCGCCACCGCATGCACCTTCTCCGCCGGCACCGTCACGACCACTACCAATGATCTCCACCGCCACCTCAACCTCCCCTAACCCTTCCCGCTCCGCCACGCACGCAGGTACGACCACAAGCTCAAGTGGGAGCTCTTCCAGGTGTCGGAGCTGGACACGTACCAGAGCATGCTCATGCTGCTCTACATGAAGGAGCTGGAGCAGGTGGTGCGCTCCTACGAGGACTACCGCCGCGCGCTGCTCTCCGAGATGGAGGCGCGGCAGCATCAGCAGCAGCAGCATCATCATCAGCGACATCAGCAGCAGCAGCTGCACTGGTATGGCGGCCGGGCCCACGCACCGTCGTCATACCAGCAGGGCTACGGGACCAAGGTGTGAGTCGTCGTCATGGTGATGGTGGTGGTGCTCGCGGCCGGACGTCGTGGAGAAGACAGAGCCGCGGCCAACGTGGAGGGGGGGTTGACGACTCCGTGTCCGTTTCAAGCCTCCACCTTTGTTTTGTTTGACCAGGTGAGAGGAGAAGCGCCTTGAGTGAAGGCGCTCATTCGCAAGAGTGGCCTCTGTGGCATCATTGACGGTCTGTCAGCAGGGGACGCCGATTGCTATTTTATCGTTCCGATGGACTCCTAGATCTCTCGCGATGTTGTCACGATGGTGTAACGCTTCGCGCGCTGGACTTGCGATCCAGAGGTCACCAAATTCCATTCCATCTCCCGGCGCGGCAGCTAACGCCACCCAGAAGCAAAGATTGGTTCACCACGGTTAGTCGACGGGCGGCCGTTGTGGTGGGGTAAAGTGTGAGTACACAGACCTCTCCTCGCGTATCTGGGGCTCCCTTCGGTGTAGGACAATGCCATCCCTGCCAGCAGTAGCGCGAGAAAGAAAATTGCAGGGCTGCACCTTTACCTCGTCGTAGATCTCGCTCCGTGAAAGGGCACGCCCTCGCACGCCTGCTCACCCTCTGGCTCTCACCCCCCCTCGCGGTAGGCTTGGGAAAACAGGAGCGCCGGTTGACTCCCGATAATCCGTGAGTGGATTACTGTGGGCTGCGGATTTAACCCGCCTTGCCAAAAAGTGACTAGCAATCTTGACGCACACGCCCCGGCTTCATTGTGAGCCGCACCTCGCTCGTGGGGTGGGGAGGGGTGGAGGGGGGGGGGCAAACTTCACTCTTGGCGCCCTCGTGAGCGCAAACGCGCCGGCAAGTAAACCCGAAACTCTGCTAAGTAAACACCCCCTGCACTCTGCGTAGCCAAACAGCGAATCCGTTATCCGTGTTCTTTATCCAGGCCACCTTCCCCTCCCTTCCAGGCCTTGGGGGAAAATCGAGAATCGAGCGGAGCACGGCAGCGCACGCCTGTGGACCGAGCACAGTCGCCGGCAGGGCGCGCGGTGCATCCCAAACCCACGTGGGTTGTGAGGGTTGGCCACGTCGATGGCCCGTCTGTGCGAGCTCGCCTGGCTTCCCGCCACACGATGTAGAGCGACTCTGTTGCTATTATAAATGGGGAAAAAGGGACCGCTGGTGTCAGCCTCTACGTTACAGAATGACGGCGGCAGAGTTTTTGACGGCAGCGGTTATTCTTGGGCACGGTTGCCGCGTGGTTCATTCTTCTCCGGACCGCGCCGCAAACTCCAGGCCCGCGAGCGCGCTCGGCACCTCGACGACGCGGCAACGGCTGCCAGAGGACAACGCCACCGAGAACCCCCCTCCGTCCCCCGCACCACGTCCATCGGAATCCCCCCCTCGGCAGGAACTTCTCGCCCGCACCGCTTTGTAAAGAATTCACGGTCGGCCCTCCCCCCCCCCCCATTTTTTTTGTACGAGTTTCGGCCTCCGCAACCGAACTGGGCCGTATTTATTATCATCATTCATTATCGTCGGCGATCCTGCCGTGTAAAAGACCCGTCGGGAATCGCTACGCGGGGCAAATGGGCGGGCCCCCCCCCCCCCCCCCCTCTCGTTCAACCACGAGGCGGCTGAGACGCGGCCGCGAGGGACGCGCGCGGCCCGTTAGGAACCCGCGCGGCCGCCGATCTCGTTCCAATTTGCTTTTATTGCGGCTAATGCCGGGCGTCTGCAGGGCTCGCGTGCTTCCGCGCGCGCACGCGTGTACGCGCGTGCGTGGCGCGCCTGACAACGGATGCAAAAAAATAAGTTACGCGGGGACTTGCGAACACCCCGTTCGCCAAATTCGCTCTCGCCGCCAGCAGCGCGGCACCATCACCCGTGGCCGGTGAAACCGTGCCGAGCCCTCGGGGCTCTTGCGTCGGTGGAGACCTCCTAGTGGCGGCGAGGGCACGGGGCCTTGCCGTGCCACAGAAGCGATCGAGAGAGACGGGGGACACGCGGAGAGAGAAATTTTAGCGCAAAGACTGCGGCTGTCCCCGCCCCCCACCCTCCATCTGTTGTCGCGTTTGCGAGTGGTCCGGCGTAACGATACGATATGCAAGACGGAGGCAGGGTTGTTGTTGGCACTTTAAAAAAATAATAACAATAAACGCCCTTCCCGTTTGCGTTGCGACTGTTATATGCAAAGCAGGTAAACGGAATTCGCGGCTGGAGGTGTAAACTGTCGGTGTAAATAGGAGGGGGATCTGCGCTAAATACAACAAGAGCGAGGGAAAGGTTCATGTCGGGGTGATGCCGGGAGTTCACGCAGCGCAGAGACCGCCCCTGCCGAGCGGTGTTGGAGAATGGCAGTGCCATTGCACACAAGTACAGGGGTGCGGTCCTGCTCATCTTGCGCACGCGTGTGTGCGCGTGTATATATATGCTTAAGGATGCTACAGTGGCGGTGTAATGGATAGCGCACTGGACTTGAAATCTACAGGCCACCAGTTTGATCTCCTGGCGCGGCCGTTGAAACAACGGGGTGGGGAGCAAGTTTTCCACATGTGCCGCTGGACGGGAGGTGATGGATGGGCGAGGCTCGGCGACGTCGATCGGCACGAACAGCTGCGTCACGAAAGGTGGCCGCTATTTTTAAAGGGGTGGGGGAGGGGCCCAGTTATCGACCACAACGAAAAGGAAACGGCGACTGCCTTTCGATGAATTCATCAGCTCAATTGTCCCAGTTCTTGTTAGGTGCATCTTTGAAAATGTTTGCTGGGAGCCGCAGCGTCCCGGTCTGTCTCGCGTCGCTCTTGCGGTGAGGCTGCCGTGGGCTGCCGACAGTCTCGCTGACGTCAACAAAGGCGGCTGCTCTTGTGGCCCCACTGGCAAAGGCCGGAGCCTCTCGCGCGCTCATTCGGATGTCCCAAGAGGTTCCGCGGTGTTCATCATCGCCGCTGCTCGCAATCCTGAACATCCAGGAGCCACGAATGAACAAGTTCCAAATTGGTCAAAGCGGAAGAGGACGTTTCGCTTGCCCCCTTCAACTTCCTATTTTACACCGCCGAGCCGAGCCGAGCCGTGCCCAGCCAGCCTGACGTGGGCCAGATGGCACCAGGTGGTTTTCCACTGCGGGAGGCGACCCGTGCTGCTCGTGTAGCCCCACGTGGCCCCGAGTCAAACTCAGGTGGCATGCGAGGGAAGCCTTTCACGGTTTGGTTCTGGCTCGGATCGGCAAATAGCCGGTGGAAAAACAACCTGTACCGTAATGTGTGTACGTTGAACTTTCGCATTCGTACGTAGCCAACCATGCTAGTCGGAGGTGCGGGGCAAGGACAACATAAACGCAAAACGTAGTTCTAAAGAAATTAGCTTTCAATTTAGATTTAAAAGTGCGTAGCCCCAGTGGCTTCCTAACATCGGAAGGGAGAGCGTTCCAGACGGCCGCAGAAGCGCATTTGAGAGGGCGCGATGCGGTTGACCGTCTTTGTTCGATGGCCAGCCAAAAGCCGCTGGCAAAAGGCCTCATTCTGGCTTGGCTCGAGTGTGCGAGTGGGGAATCGGATTCAAACAGTTTCTCAGTGGTGCCGGATCGGCGTCTCTGACACGGCCATCATGAACATTCAGAAATGTAAAATTAAATTTAAAAAATATATATATTGGCTTTATATATGTATATAGCATTACTATAAATTATTTAGAATAAACTTGCCGGCTGGAAGTTATACTGATGACGTGAATATAATAATGTAACAGACTATTAAGACGATAATCCTTTCTATGCATATCGTAGAAATGTGCAGCGGAGCTTTGCATACAAGATATTTTTAGGTTGGTGAGTGACCTGTTTAGCACCTCGCTGTCAAACACTTTCCGCTGAATTCCAACATCACCACGCGACGTTCCACTCACCTTGGTGTTCAAGTTCGTTAATGAAGAAGCCTTGCAGCCAGGTTAGCGCGAGAATGTGATCGACACATTGGCGCGTCTCAACATCGCCCAGTCTCGTCGGGTGGTGGAGAGGGCCATTCACAGGAAATGTGGCATGACCCACGACTACCACCGTGGCCTCATCCAAAAATCTAATCTGGGTCCTCGTTTTGGCTACAGAAACGTCCGTGTTGAGTTGTAACCGTCTGTCATCACTTTAGCGCCATACTCTGCCGCCTCTGTCACAGCGAAGGGCCTCTTCGAGTAACCGAGGTGTGTGGCGGTGGTCGTGGTGGGGAGCGGTGGCGCAGCGGTTAGCGCGCTGCGCTACGAACCTGGCGACCCGAGTTCGATTCCCGCTCACGGCCATCAACGTCAGTGACGGTTATCTGAATCGGTCATGGGCCTCCCCTAGGTCGATTCGGCCTCAAATGATTACCCGGTGTAGTGTGTCGTCACTGGGGAGACGAAGACGGCCGAGCGTGGTGCTTGCCGCCCACCCCTCGTGTGCCACCGTGCCGGCCTTCGTAGGTGTCGCTACTCGCTAACAGCACTTGCCCCTAAAGTCTGTTGAGGCTATACGGCAGAACCTTTGCCTTTGGCGAAGTGTGGTTGCCCATCAGAGCTGTTTGAAATTCCTATTTGGCCCTCGGTAAGGGGTAAAGTTCCTTACCGCTGCCCTAAATAAATTTGAGACTCAAGAAAAAAAATCCCGTCTGAAGCTGTGATATTTCGGCAGTCTGGATTTTAAGCAATACGGAAACAGGCACCCGTTTTAATAGACGTTTCACAAACTGTAAAAAAAATACACTTTTAATAGGGCTTTTTGTGAACTACAGCTTTGTGTAAATAACTTATCACGATCTCTCTGAGTTTTCATACCGTAGGCTTCCACGCAATTGGTTTCTCGAACCTAATCGCCTGGTTCTCACCCCAGGGGAACCGATTGTGAATCCCTCCCGAGTTATTTTGGAATGGCAGGAATGAGGAGGAGGAGGAGTTGGTTGCAAAAGCAAATGAATCCATTCTGAGATGGCTTCTATATACACCCGTCTTGGGTTTGTCTCCTCGTTTTGCAATGCACGGGCTGTTTTATAGAAACTGCTGTATATTATTTGTAAATGTCTTAATGTGGACAGGGAGGTGTCGAAGATTATGATGATGATGCTGATGATGCTACGATTTGAGTGACAACTACTACCGCGTGGAATAAATGGATCGCGTAAATGGTCGCGCCTGGCTCCTGTCGTGATGAATGACGGCACCCCCCACGGCACCCCCCACGGCACCCCCACGGCACCCCCCACGGCACCCCGCACGGCACCCCCCACGGCACCCCCCACGGCACCCCCCACGGCACCCCCCCACGGCACCCCGCACGGCACCCCCCACGGCACCCCCCACGGCACCCCCCACGTCACCCCCCACGGCACCCCCACGTCACCCCCCACGGCACCCCCCACGGCACCCCCCACGGCACCCCCCACGGCACCCCCCACGGCACCCCCCACGGCACCCCCACGGCACCCCCCACGGCACTGGGAGGAGATTCTGGTGGGAAGAGAAGTGGTTGTGGGGGGGGGGTAGTGGGTGTGGAGAGGTGGGGAGATAGGGGGGTTGAGAGGGGGGGGGGTGGGTTGAGAGGGGGGGTGGGTTGAGAGGGGGGGAGGGGTGGGTTGAGAGGGGGGGCGGTGGGTTGAGAGGGGGGGGCGGGGGGTTGAGAGGGGGGCGGGGGGTTGAGAGGGGGAGTGGTGGGTTGAGAGGGGGGGGGTGGGTTATAGGGGGGGTGGGTTTATAGGGGGAGTGGGTTGAGAGGGGGGAGGTGGTGGAGGTTGTTGTGGCTGGAGGGGGAGGAGTTCCACCGCCGTGGGTCACGCATCCACTTCCGGGGCACGGCAGGGCCCCTCACACCGGGCCGAGGAGGCGAGCGGTGGTGGTGGTGGTGGCCCGACAGACGCGGCACGAACTCGTCAACACAAAATACACATTTATATATTAAACGCACAACACATATATTACACAACACTATATTTATATATTACACACACAACACGCGAAATCGCCATTGTTAAATCAAAAAACCTACCGCCGTTACCAGCAGCAGCAGCGGCAGTAGCAGCATCACGGCGGCAGGGCCGAGAGGCGGAGGAGGAGGAGGAGGAGGCGTCGTTGTCGTGGTCGTCTCGGTCGTCGTGGTCGTCTCGGTCGTCTCGTGCCGCCCATGAGGGGCGATGCTCGACGCCGTTCGCTTCGTGGAGCGGCGGCGCAGGGCGCGCGGCTCCGAGGCGACGGCGCTGCGCCGCGGGCTGCAGGCGGCGCGCCTCGCCACGGCCCGCGGACTCTTCCACCGCGAACTGCGCGGACACTTCGGCTGCGTCAACGCCGTCGAGTTCTCGTGCGGGGCTGGATCGTGGCTCGTGTCAGGTGCGGGGGGCGGGGGGGTTGAGCCGGCGGCACACACACACACAGAGGGGTACACACACACGGACACATACACACACACCGGTACACACACACACGGGTACACACACAGGGGTACACACACATGGGCACACACACACACGGGTACACACAGAGGTACACACACACGGGCACACACAGGGGTACACACACACGGGCACACACACACGGGTACACACAGAGGTACACACACACGTACACATACACTCACACGGGTACACACACACACGGGCACACACACACGGGTACACACACACACACGGGTACACACACACACACGGATACACACACACGGGCACACACACACACGGGCACACACACACACACGGGCACACACACGCACGGGCACACACACACGGGTACACACACACACACGGATACACACACACAGGCACACACACACACGGGCACACACACACACGGGTACACACGGGCACACACACACGGGTACACACACACACGGGTACACACGGGCACACACACACGGGTACACACACACACGGGTACACACGGGCACACACACGGGCACACACACACGGGTACACACACACACGGGTACACACACACGGGCAGCGTGCGCGGCACGACACCGTGTACAGTGCGTCACGGTGTGTACAGTGCGTCACGGTGTGTACAGTGCGTCACGGTGTGTACAGTGCGTGACGTTACAGCGAGAGACAGTGTGTACAGTGCGTGACGTTACAGCGAGAGACAGTGTGTACAGTACGTTGCGGCAAGCCGAAGCGTACAGTTACGCTGCGTACAGTGCGCCGTCGTGCGGGGTACAGTGTAAGTGCGCCACCGTGTACAGTGCGTCGCGGTGTGTACAGTGCTGTGCGTGTGCAGTAGCCGCACGCTCCCCAACGAGTCATGTGGTGGTGGTGGTGATAGTGGTGGTGGTGGTGATAGTGGTGGTGATAGTGTTGGTGGTGGTGGTGATAGTGGTGGTGGTGGTGATAGTGGTGGTGGTGGTGATAGTGGTGGTGATAGTGGTGGTGGTGATAGTGGTGGTGGTGATAGTGGTGGTGATAGTAATGGTGGTGGTGATGGTGGTGATCGTAGTGGTGGTGTTGGTGGTGATAGTGGTGGTGGTGATAGTGGTGGTGGTGATAGTAATGGTGGTGGTGATGGTGGTGATCGTAGTGGTGGTGGTGGTGGTAGTGTTGGTGGTGATAGTGGTGGTGGTGATAGTAATGGTGGTGGTGATGGTGGTGATCGTAGTGGTGGTGATAGTGGTGGTGGTGATAGTGGTGATAGTAATGGTGGTGGTGATGGTGGTGGTGATCGTAGTGGTGGTGGTGATAGTGGTGGTGGTAATAGTGGTGGTCGTAGTGGTGGTGGTGATAGTGGTGGTAATAGTGGTGGTGGTGATAGTGGTGGTGATGGTGATATTGGTGGTGATGGTGATAGTGGTGATAGTGTGGTAGTGGTGGTGGCAGTGTGATAGTGGTGGTGGTGATAGTGTGGTAGTGGTGGTGGTGATAGTGGGGGTGGTGATAGTGGTGGTGGTGGTGGTGCAGACATTGGAATTTAGCTCCTGGACATGTTGGCATCGTACATTGTAAATGTAACAGTGCTTTGCAGGTGCAGCATGGACGTGCACGCACGACGTAGAATGTGGGGCCGTCTCTTTATATTTAGCCCAGAACGACGGAGGAGGCCGAGGAAGAGGCGGCTCGAAGCGGCGATGAAGCCAAAGATCTCCCGTATAGCCTCGGACAGACTTAGGGCAAGTGCTGTTCGCGAGTAGCAGCACCTGTAAAGGCGACAACGAAACAAGAGGAGGAGGGTGGGTAGCCAGCAGCACGCACGGCTGGCAGCCTTTGTCTCCCCCGTGCTGATGTTTAATACACATCACACCAGGAACTAATGCTAGGCTGAGTCGACCTAGGGGAGCGGCCCAGGACCGGTTCAGATAATTGTCACTGATGTTGGGCTTGAGTGGGAGTCAAACTCGGGGTCGCTGGGTTCGTAGCGCAGCGCGATCACCGATACACGAAGCGGTGAACCACGCTCGGAACTCACGCGGCGGCATTGGCGGGGTGGTGGCGCAGTGTTCATAACTCGTACCACACGGCAAGGACCTCCTGGGTTCAATTCCTCCCCCAGTTCTGTAGTGAGTGAGTGGAGTTTGTATTCTTTCCTATTCTGCATGAATTTCCTCAGGTTTCTCCGGTTTCCTCCCATATCCAACCCCCTCCCACACACTGTAAATTGGCCAAAATATCCCAATGCTCAAAAGATTACCCGCAAATTCCTCAGTTGGGATCACACAGCAGCAGCGGCATCGCCCCTTGCTGTGAAAACTCAGCAGGACCCTCCTGAAAATAAGTCTTGAGACTCTTGCAAGGCTTTGCCGGGTAAACGAGCACGAATAAAACAGTGATGCATAGACGCCCTGCAGACTTACACGCAGATCCAAGCTAACAGGTAATGTACGCATGGCCAGGTATTAACCTATTGAGGAAATACGAAGAGCCGCAGTGGAAGTGGAGATGGCACAGTGCAGGAAAGAGTGAGTGAGCAAACAGGCGCGCGGGTGAGCGTGCGGGTGAGCGTGCGGGTGAGTGTGTGGGTGCACAAGTGAGGAGCGGTGGCACAATGGTCTTAGCACGCTGCGCTTGGAACTTCGGCGACCCGAGTTCGATTCTCGCTCAAGATCAACAACAGCGGCGAATATTTGAACCAGTTCTGGGCCTCCCCTAGGTCGTCTCGGCCTCAAATGAGTACCTGGTGCGGACGTGGCATTAGCCACAGACCCCCCTCGTGTGCTGTGCCGGCCTTCGTGGGTCTGTTAGGGCTACACGGGGGGTGGGGGGGGGGTTCATTGTCTTGTAGAGGTGCGTAGACGGGGTGCGGCTGTGCGAGCGTGTAGGTGACGGCGTGCGATGGTTGCGTCTGTGAGAGCAGGTGGAGATGACCGGCGCGTGCTGCTCTGGGATGTGGAGCGAGCGGTGCACGGCATGGGCCAGCCCGTGCCCATGACCGGGGAGCATCACTCGAACATCTTCTGCCTGGCCTTCACCTCTGACAACAAACGCATCTTCTCAGCCGGTGACCAAACATGTCCGGGACCTCGCAGGAGAATGGCACGGGACACACGGACACGCCATTCGCCACTAGGTGGCAGTGATGTCACCACGGCGCCTTTGCCAGGCTAGGTGCACTTTGAAGCCACGTGAAGTGTCGGAAGAGACCCAGGTGCCAGGGGTTGACTGACTGAGATGAGTGGGGGATGCACCGTCTGTGCCCCCTTGCCAATTTGCTGCATTTTAGCCGCCCGGCGCTCCGCTCGTTGTTGTGAGCGTCGTTCCTCCGCCCTCCGTTGTTGTTGGAAGGCGACTGCCTCCAACTGACCAGTAGCGTCCTTCACGGGCCTCCTCCACACACACAAAGACAGAGATCCCCCTGTAGCCTTAGCAGGCTCTTGGGGCAAGTGCTGTTCGCGAGCACCTATGAAGGTCGGCACGGCAAACGAGGGGGGCGGGCGGGTGGCCCGCATCCTGCCTGGCCGCCTTTGTCTTTCTCAGGGATCCTGTGCGTCAAGTCTTTCACGAGGTGTGCTGATGAAGGGCCGCTGCCCGAAACGTCACCTGTTTACTTTCGAATTTTTGTTGTTTAAGGCCACGCAGTGTTACTGACCAAGAACGTCCTGAGTTTTGGAGTTCAAATCCGAGCGTTAGCCGCCCCCCGTCGTCGTCGTCACAACGCGTTCTCGGGTGCGGCGAGGTTTTGGCGGATCGCCGGTGTCCGTCGTCTTGACAGGTATCGCTTGTGTCTCCGTTGCAGGCAACGACGAACAGGTCATCCTCCACGACGCCGAGAGGTGAGCGTGCGCGTGTTGTGTGTGCGCTTGTGTTGTGTGTGCGTGTGTTGCGTGCGCGTGTTGTGTGTGTGCGTGTTGTGTGTGCGCGTGTTGTGTGTACACATGTGTTGTGTGCGCGTGTTGTGTGCGCGTGTTGTGTGCGCGTGTTGTGTGCGTGTGTTGTGTGTGCATGCGTGTGTTGTGTGTGCATGCGTGTGTTGTGTGTGTTGTGTGTGTGTGTGTGTGCGTGCGTTCCCCAACGGCAACGCTGTCGTCGTTGTTGTTGATGTAGTCGTCGTTGTTGATGTAGTCGTCGTCCTTGTTGTTGTTGATGTAGTCGTCGTCCTTGTTGTTGTTGATGTAGTCGTCGTCCTTGTTGTTGTTGATGTAGTCGTCCTTGTTGTTGTTGATGTAGTCGTCGTCGTCATTGTTGATGTCGTCGTCGTTGTTGTTGCGCGTGCTCAGGGGCGACACGGTGGACGTGTTTCCGCACGAGGAGGCCGTCTACGGCCTCTCGGTGAGCCCCGACAACGACTGCGTCTTCGCCAGCTCCTCCGACGAGGGCCGCGTGCTCATCTGGGACACGCGGATCTCCCACCACGAGGGTACGCGCACGGCCGCCCGTGGCGGCGGTGGCGGTGGTAGTGCTGGTGGTGGTGATAGTGGTTGTGCTGTTGGTGGTGGTGATGTTAGTGGTGTGATACCCGTTGTGTGGATGATGATGGCGATGGTCACGATATATATCCGGTGGCTTCTCCCGCAGAGCCGTTCTGCCTGGCGAACTACCGCTCGCCGTTCCACGGGGTGATGTTCAACCCCGTGGAGTCGCGCCTCGTCGCCACCGCCAACTCCAAGGAGGGCGTGGGGCTGTGGGACGTGCGCAAGCCTCGCAGGTGGGGGCCCACCGCCTCGCTCGCTCGCTCACCGCACCGTCCACCGCCCGCTCCCTCCCTCCCTCCTCACCTCCCTCCCTCACCCACCCACCTCCCTCCCTCACCCACCTCCCTCCCTCCCCTCCCCCCCTTCCCCGTGGCTGTGCGCCCCCAGCTGCCTGTGGAGCTACGGTGGCGACGGCGGCCCCGCCAGCGCCATGAGCGTTCGCTTCGACGCGAGCGGCGCCCGCCTGGTGGCGCTGCGGCGCCGCCTGCCGCCCGTGCTGCTGGACGTGCGCCACACGCAGCCGCTGTGCCACTTCCAGCACCCCGGCTACTACAACTCGTGCACCATGAAGAGCTGCTGCTTCGCAGGCGACCGCGATCAGGTGACACTTCAGGGAGGTGGGGGGGCTGTGGGGGGGCAGGGGGGCGTGCGGCCCAGGGCGGGGCCGTGAGGGGGGATGGGTGTCAGGGGGGGTGGGTGGCAGAGAGAGAGAGAGTGACGGAGAGCACCGGGGAGATTGTGGGGAGGGCGTGGCGAGAGGGTGGGGAGGGCGTGGGGAGAGGGCGTGGGTAGAGGGCGTGGGACAAGATTGGGGGAGAGTGTGAGGAGAACGCGGGAGAGCATGCAAGGGTGGGAGGGAGTGGAGAGAGAGTGAGGAGTTGCAGGAGAGTTTGGCAGTGTGTAAGAGGGTGTGGGAGAGTTTGTTTAGAGTGTGGAAGAGTAGACGAGAGAGTGGTAGGGTAGGTGAATGAGTGTGGTAGGGTAGGTGAATGAGTGTTGGAGGGTAGGTGAGTGTGTGTGAGTGAGTGTGAGAGAGTGTGAGTGTGTAAGTGTGAGTGAGTGAGTAAGTGTGAGTGAGTGCGAGTGAGTGAGTGTGTGTGTGTGTGTGTGTGAGTGTGAGTGAGTGTGAGTGAGTGTGAGAGAGTGTGTGTGTGTGTGTGAGTGAGTGTGAGTGAGTGCGAGTGTGTGCGAGTGAGTGAGTGTGTGTATGTGAGTGAGTGTGTAAGTGTGAGTGAGTGTGAGTGAGTGTGAGTGAGTGTGTAAGAGTGAGTGTGTGAGGCGCGCTCTCACGACGGTGTGCGTGTGTGTGTCCCCCGTGCGCCAGTACGTGTTGTCGGGGTCGGACGACTTCAACCTCTACATGTGGCGGATCCCCGACGAGCCCATCCAAGGTGGGGGGGTGGTGGCGCCTCTCCCCTCGAGGCCTCTCGCCTGGGACACACGTGACGCACTGGCCCCCCCGCGCCAGTTTGGGGCTCCGTTAAAAAATCACCGCACTGGCAAACCCGTGCCGCGTCAACCCGTACGGTGTACTCCGTGTATTCTTGTCCAGGGAGATTGAGTTTTCGGGTCCATATGGCGCACAGCTGTTTCAATGCGGGCTAAAATAAGTAGATTTGTTTGTGTTTCTCCCTTGTGATGGGACTTTGTAGGATGAACGTTGGGATTTATAGGGGCACGGGGTGACCAACAAGGTCTGAGTTGGTCTGTAATTCAGGTAGGGCACTGATAAGGGGTTGACAGATATGCAAATATCCCCTGTGTAGCCTTGACAGACGGTTGGGGCAAGTGTTGTTGGCGAGCACCTACGAAGGCGTGAACGGTACGCATGGCGGGGTGGGTGGCGAGCACCGCGCCCGACCGAAATTGTCTCCCCAGTGGCGATGTTTACACACCGTAGCAGTTACTCATTTGAGGCTGAGTCGACCTAGGGGAGGCCATGGACCAGTTCGGGTAATCGTCATCGGTGTTGCCCGTGACCGGGAATAGAACTCGGGTTGCCGGGTTCACAGCGCGGCAGGCGAACCGCCCGGCTGGCACTCTGCCACACGCATCCTGGCCCCACATTGGGCAATGCAGTGGTATCCAGCACTAATCTTTTACTTCAGGGTATCTTTAGGGCTGAGCGGACCCCGATCCCCCGACCCCCTCCCCCCACCCACCACGTGCGCTGTGTGGACGGGGGGTGCAGAGGCCGAGCGGACGGTGCCGCGGGCCTTCTTGGTGCTGAAGGGCCACCGCTCGATCGTCAACCAGGTCCGCTTCAACAACAACACGCACATGCTGTGCTCCTCCGGGGTCGAGAAGGTCATCAAGGTACCGTCACCCGACACCCCCCCCCCGCCCTGGCGATGCCTCCGAATAATAATAAGTTACTACATCGGTGAGCTGCTGCGCTTGGTAGGATGGGCGTTGTTTGGTTCCACATGTATGTGTGTTGGGCGATTCGTTTTGCAGTTCCTGTACTTTGCACTCCTATCGTGTTTTTGTATCGTTTGTTGTTGTTGTTGTCGTAACGTTCTTACCCCGTGCCCCTACTACTGGGCATCTGTCAAAAAGAGCTTCATAGCTCATTGGAATCGTCCACTGTAAATAATTATTCTGATTCTGATGCCGTTACTCCCCGGTGCGTCCGTCCGCTTGGAATCGATTCGCGGCACGGTTTTGGCTTTGACCGCGGAGCGATCGCGGGGCAGGGGACCAAATACGTTGCCAGGCAATTAGAAGCGCTTCTCGTGTGTTAGTTTGCTGTCCTTCCCCTAACACACCTCCGATTGGCGTGGTTGGCTACGTGCGGTGCGAACGTGGCTCAAACATACGTGCGGGCCCTCTCCACCACCCGACACGGCCGAGCAGAATGACCGCGCACCTCCGCCAAGGGTGAAGCCGTGGCCATCGCGTCCGGCTGCTGGAGGGGTCGCGGCCAAAATCGTGGCGAATACAAAAACGCAACCACGTGGCCTCGCCCAACACACGAATACGGATCAACCGCTGCCCCTCTGTTACCCACCCCACCCACCCCACCCCACCCACCCCACCCCCCCCACCCACCCACTCCACCCACCCACGCCACCTGCCCTCTACTCGTTTTCCGCAGTCCTCGTGTTTCGGTCTCCTCTCTGCTCGTGCGACGGGCTGAACGGGACCACCCCTGTCAACCCAAATCATATGACACCCCCCGCCCCGCCGCCCCCCCCCCCCTCGCCGCCCCCACCCCCTTGCCCAGGTTTGGTCCCCGTTCGTGCAGCCCGGTTCCCGCGGCGACCTGTCTGGCGAGGCGCAGGAGCCGCGCCGGGCCATGTACACGCACGAGGAGTACATCGGCCTGGTGCTGTCGAGCGGCTCGGCGCTCTCGCACGACTACGGGCAGCAGTCGCTGGACGAGGACCCGCGCATGATGGCCTTCTTCGACTCGCTGGTGCAGCGCGAGGTGGACGGCTGGAGCTCGGCGTCCGACAGCGACGCCAGCCCCGGGGCGCTCGCCTGGGTGCCACGCGGCGGCGGCGGCGGTGGTGCCGCGGCGGGGGCCGAGCGGAGCCCCCTGACGGGGGTGCTGATGCCGGTGAGCGGGGGGGGGGGGGGGAGTCGGTGTGGGTGGGGGTGTGTGTGTGTGTTGAAGTGTGAGTGTGTGTGTGTGTGTTGAAGTGTGCGTGAGTGTGTGGGAGTGTGTGTGGGAGTGTGTGAGTGTGCGTGTTTTGTATGGGAGTGTATGAGTGTGTGTGAGTGTGTGTGTGTTTGTATGGGAGTGTGTGTGGGAGAGTGTGTGTGGGCGAGTGTGGGTGTGTTGGAGAGTGTTGGGGAGTGGTGTTGCAGTGGTTATCGCACTGCCCTACGAATCCGGCCACCCGAGTTCGATTCCCGCTCGCAGCCACCAACACCGGCATGGGCCCCCCCTAGGTCGACTCCGCCTCAAATGTGTACCTGGTGCGGTGTGTTAACATCGCCACTGGGGTGCTAAAGGAAGCTGGGCATGGCGGTTGGGGCACGACAGTCTGTCAAGACGATAGAGGGGAGCGCGTACGTGCCGTGACGGCGAGTGACCGTGGCCGGTGGTCTGTGTTTACGCGCCAGCTGGACGAGTGGGAGCGCCAGCCTCGCGATCCGCGGCCCCTGCATCCTCCCCGCATCCCTCGCGGCGCGGCTCCCTCGGCCGCCGCCCCTCGCGGAGCCGCCGCCGCCGCCGCCAGCAGCAGCAACAACGACGACGGCGCCGCCGGCGGCACCGACAACAACAACAACGACGCCAGCAGCAGCGGCGGCAACGGGAGAGGCGGCACGCGGCAGCGGTGGCGGCGGCGCCGCGCCGCGGACGTTTCGCCGGACACGTCGGACGGCGACGGCAATGGCGGCGGCGGCGGCGGCGGGGAGCGCCGCCCGCCTGACGCCGACCAAAATGACGACGACGACGACGGAAAGAAAAACGGAGGCGGCGACGGAGCGGGAGAGAGCAGCGAGAGCGGCGAGGACCGGCGAGCCAGCATGCGCCGGCGCAACGCGGCACGCACGCGCGCCCGCAAGCAGAGGAGCCGCCGGCACCCACCGGACGGGGAGGCGGCCCCCGCCGCCGCCTGCGAACCGCCGACGACGTCGAGGACGACGGCGCCGACGACGTCGAGGACTGCGTCGCCGTCGTCGTCCTCGTTGTCGTCCGAGGGGGGCGGCGACGGCGCGGGGCCGGCGGCGTCGTCGTCATCCGACACGAGCGCCCGCTTTGGTGACGGCGCCGCGGAAGCCCGCAAGGTGTTCCGCGTCTACAACAAGATCTGCAACAGCTACAGGAGGCACCTGCGCAAGGGGCGGCAGCAGCAGCCGCAGCAGCGGGAGGAGGAGGAGGAGGAGCGGCGTGCGGTCGCGGGTGACGCGGAGGAGGACGGCGCCGGAGAATGGATTTTGATCAGAGGCCCGTACCACGACGACGACGACGTTGACGACGACGTTGACGACGACGTTGACGACGACGACGTCGACGTTGGGTCCAACAGGCCGGCCCGACAGACGCCCACGTGCAGCTGGCTCACGGACGAGGAGGAGGAGGAGGGGGGCGGCGATGCCGGTGGCAGCGCCGCGAGCGGGAAAAGGCGAGCGATGGACAAAGCCTCGTCGTCGGCGTCGTCGATGTCGTCCTCGTCGTCCGGTTTCGACGAGGCGAGGGGCGCCACGTCCAGACGTCGCCGACTGGCGAACGGCAAAGCACCGGCGCCGGCCTCGTCGTCGTCGTCGTCCTCGGCGGCGTCGTCGCGGGCCTCGACCTCGTCGTCCCCGACATCGTCGCGGGCCTCGACCTCCTCGTCACACTCTTCATCATCCGGGGACGGGCGCCGGCATTGCCGCCGCGGCCGCCATTGCCGCCGGGTGACGGAGAGCGACGAGGAGGAGGAGGGGGAGACGAAGAGGAACGGTGACTTTGGGGCCCGCGGCGACTCCGGAGGCGGCGGCGCCACCGCCGCGGCCGCTGCCCGGGCGTCCAAACGACGGCACGAGGAGGAGGAGGAGACGGACGCGGGCGAGGAGGTGGTTGAGGAGGTGGGCAATGACAAGGAGGCGGCATCGCCCAAGCCGGGCGGAAAGAGAAAGCAGAAGAGGCAGCGCTGACGGGGGAACCGAGACGGGAGCGGCAGCGGCGGTGGCTTCGCTCCTCACCGAGCGCTTTCTGGGTCGCGGGTCGGTGAGCGGAGCAGGCGGCCGTGGCCGCAGCGAGAGGAGGAGGTCTGCTGGACTGGTGTGCTGGACGTGGTGGGCTGGACTGGTGTGCTGGACGTGGTGTGCTGGACTGGTGTGCTGGACTGGTGTGCTGGACGTGGTGTGCTGGACTGGTGTGCTGGACTGGTGTGCTGGACTGGTGTGCTGGACTGGTGTGGTGGACTGGTCTGCTGAACTGGTGTGCTGGACTGGTGTGCTGGACTGGTGTGCTGGACTGGTCTGCTGGACTGGTGTGCTGGACGTGGTGTGCTGGACTGGTGTGCTGGACTGGTGTGGTGGACTGGTCTGCTGGACTGGTGTGCTGAACTGGTGTGCTGGACTGGTGTGCTGGACTGGTGTGCTGGACGTGGTGTGCTGGACTGGTGTGCTGGACGTGGTGTGCTGGACGTGGTGTGCTGGACTGGTGTGCTGGACGTGGTGTGCTGGACTGGTGTGGTGGACTGGTCTGCTGGACTGGTGTGCTGGACTGGTGTGCTGGACGTGGTGTGCTGGACGTGGTGTGCTGGACGTGGTGTGCTGGACTGGTGTGCTGGACGTGGTGTGCTGGACGTGGTGTGCTGGACTGGTGTGCTGGACGTGGTGTGCTGGACTGGTGTGCTGGACTGGTGTGCTGGACGTGGTGTGCTGGACGTGGTGTGCTGGACTGGTGTGCTGGACGTGGTGTGCTGGACGTGGTGTGCTGGACGTGGTGTGCTGGACGTGGTGTGCTGGACGTGGTGTGCTGGACGTGGTGTGCTGGACGTGGTGTGCTGGACGTGGTGTGCTGGACTGGTGTGCTGGACGTGGTGTGCTGGACGTGGTGTGCTGGACTGGTGTGCTGGACGTGGTGTGCTGGACGTGGTGTGCTGGACGTGGTGTGCTGGACGTGGTGTGCTGGACGTGGTGTGCTGGACTGGTGTGCTGGACGTGGTGTGCTGGACGTGGTGTGCTGGACTGGTGTGCTGGACTGGTGTGCTGGACTGGTGTGCTGGACTGGTGTGCTGACTGGTGTGCTGGACGTGGTGTGCTGGACTGGTGTGCTGGACGTGGTGTGCTGGACTGGTGTGCTGGACGTGGTGTGCTGGACTGGTGTGCTGGACGTGGTTGCTGGACGTGGTGGCCGGAGTGGTGTGCGGACGTGGTGTGCTGGACGTGGTGTGCTGGACGTGGTGTGCTGGACGTGGTGTGCTGGACTGGTGTGCTGGACTGGTGTGCTGGACTGGTGTGCTGGACGTGGTGTGCTGGACGTGGTGTGCTGGACGTGGTGTGCCGGACGTGGTGTGCCGGACGTGGTGTGCTGGACGTGGTGTGCTGGACGTGGTGTGCTGGACTGGTGTGCTGGACGTGGTGTGCCGGACGTGGTGTGCCGGACGTGGTGTGCTGGACGTGGTGTGCTGGACGTGGTGTGCTGGACGTGGTGTGCTGGACTGGTGTGCTGGACTGGTGTGCTGGACTGGTGTGCTGGACGTGGTGTGCTGGACGTGGTGTGCTGGACGTGGTGTGCTGGACGTGGTGTGCTGGACTGGTGTGCTGGACGTGGTCTGCTGGACTGGTGTGGTGGACTGGTGTGCTGGACTGGTGTGCTGACTGGTGTGGTGGACTGGTGTGCTGGACTGGTGTGCTGGATGTGGTGTGCTGGACGTGGTGTGCCGGACTAAATATTTTGAGGGTCGCCAGCTTGGACGGATCTGGCTGAGAAACGGCGCGCCGTGCCCCCACGGCTCCGACGGGCAGCGCTGGCGGGCGGCGAAGGTTTTCCCCGCAGTCCACCGTCGTGCCGTCTACCCTGACGGGCGACGACATCGTCGCTCGCTCGCAAACTGTGCGGTGGATCGAGCCGCGGTGGTGCGAGCGCGTGTATCTGCGTCCGTACGTACAAAACGAAACTAAAAGCTAAACTATTTTGTGTTTTACCAGGTAAGGCCCACTGAGCTGTGTAGCTCTTTTTTCAGAAGTGACCTGGCCACAAATGACAGCTCAACTAAGTGGCTTATCGCGTGGAAATATACGGTGGCCAAATACCGGAGGATCCCGAGAAAAATCCGCACTGCCACGGGGGGAGAGAGAGACGGAAACTCCAAATCTACAGCAGCAGGCGTCAGGGTTGGGATCAAATCCACGACCTCCCGTATACCAGGCGAGGGAGTTAACATCTCCGAGCCACCGTGGCGCCCCAAAACCCGTGACCCACCGCAGCCGCTCTTGCGTGGGCGAGGCGGCGATGCGAATGCCGCCGGTGAGAGGGCTCGTGTGAGGGTGGACCGTGCCACGGTTCGGTGGGAGGTGAGCTTCGTTGGTTTAGTCAACGTTGTCATCGTTATGCCTTCTGGCACGCCCCGAGAGCCTTCCTCCCCACTGGGAGTTGTTCGCCCTGCCCCTTCCAGCTTTGACTCGGGACAGTCCGGGAATTGGCATCTGTGTTGGGGATTGCAGCAGGGATGAGTTTGTACCGAGTTCCGGTACCGGTATTTGGGGCCGTCCATGAGGGGGAGTCACCGCGCGTGGGCCCCCCGACGCTTTCAAACTAAACCGGCGGGAGTATCATGTCTGGCACCACCGTGACGTCGAAGCGCAGGGCCCCCCAAAGTGCGGGGCCCGGGGCTGTCTCCTCGATCTGCCTTCTACCCCGAGTTGCCGTGTTGACATCGATTGCAGTCGACTGCGACACCCCGAGTTGCCGATCCAGAACTACGCCTGGGTTTGCGCCGGGGGAAAGGTGGCAGCCCTCACCCACTGACTCATTCGCTCACTCACTCTCAACCATTCACCATCTGTGACCCACTGATTCATTCACCCATTCGTATTCCAAGTCACTCAGTAACTCGCCCACCCACTCGCACCACTCACTCGCCCACCTACCCACTCATCCACGCACGAGGATTGCCAGATTTGTCCCGGACAGTCCCGAGAATTGGCATCAATGTGCGGGTGGCAGCAGGAACCGATTTGTCCCGAGACCTGGGTACCGGGTTTGCGTTGAGCTGTATTGCAGTGAGACTGCGTAGCGTTGATTTTAAGCCCAGGCCGAGTGATAAATGTTCGGGTTTGGTATGCGGTGGAAAAGTTCGCATCACTGGTAGCCAGATCCAGCATTGTCCACCCGCCAACAGAGAGCCCTGTTACCACACCCGGCACCAACTGCTCGCAAAAAACTTTTGTCTGTTGCTCCGTTGTTTCGTCAGGACTTGCACTCTGTAATATATTCTGTCATCGCACGTGGGATCGTAAATGGGAACCTTTCCTGAGGAAAGCGGAATACAACAAAAAGATGATGGGAGCGCAGCAGCGGAAGAAGAAGAGGAGGAGGAGTCGAGAGAGGTGCACGCTGGGAATTGCAGTCCCCCGAGAGACGGAACGCACGGGCCGTACTCCGACCGTCAAACAGAAGTGGGGGGGGGGGGGGGGGGGGGGTTTTGGCCGGGACAGCTCACGGCCGCAAATGTGTGTTCGGACCGGTGGACGACGCTTTCCCGGCGGATTCGCAGCCGAGAGAAGGAGAGCGGGCGCCGCCAACGTACGGGGCGCACGCCGCGGAGACGGAGCGACGGAGGTGGGCTCGCACGCAGCCGGCGCCCGCTCGGCTCGGGAACCCACTTCCCGTCCGAGACGACAGGGCCGAGCGGTCTCCTCAACCCTCCCTGGCGCTCGCCCATCTTCTCAACCCTCCCCGGCGCTCGCCCCCATCTCCTCAACCCTCCCCGGCGCTCGCCCCCATCTCCTTGGGGTTCCGCGGCGCGGCCCTTAAAGGCACGGGGCGGCGGCTTCGTCGCTGCAACGGCCCCCCCCCCCCCGGGTTGGGTTTTGATCCGATGGGTTCTCCTCGCCAACGCAGCTGCGGCGTCGCGCAGCACGACCCGGGAAGCCCGCGCGGCCTGGGTGGTGAGGAGCAGCCGAAAGGGAAGAGCCGTCTCAGCCTCGAGTCGGCAGGGAGACGGAGGGGAGTTGTAGATGGTCGGGGAAGCAGAGGAGGAGCGACCTCCCATTAAGCAGACATGGACTGGGAGATTTGACCTGAGGCCGTGGTTGCTGGAGAGTGGAGTGAGATGAGAGGGGAGAGGCAGGAGAGTACGTGGAGGGGAGGGGAGTGAGATGAGTGGGGAGAGGCAGGAGAGTGCGTGGAGGGGGGTGAGGTGAGAGGGGAGAGGCAGGAGAGTGCGTGGAGGGGTGAGAGGGGAGAGGCAGGAGAGTGCGTGGAGGGGGGTGAGGTGAGAGGGGAGAGGCAGGAGAGTACGTGGAGGGGAGTGAGGTGAGAGGGGAGAGGCAGGAGAGTGCGTGGAGGAGTGAGAGGGGAGAGGCAGGAGAGTGCGTGGAGGGGAGAGGCAGGAGAGTACGTGGAGGGGAGTGAGGTGAGAGGGGAGGTTGTGGTCACGTGGCCGTGCTGCGGTGTCTCCCGAGTTCACGTGGCCCCACCAGCGTCGTGTCTCCAACTTTGTTGTTATTGCAAAAACGAACAAATGAACACGTGCTCATGTCGTGATGAACGTCGCTCTGTTCTATTCCTCTTATTAATTCGTCCGGAAGTGAAATATTTATGAAATCGTAAAGTTGAAAAGTAGCTTTTCATTAAATTACCGTTCTGCCGAAACTTTTTTTTCGTACAAAGTGGTGGTGGTGGTGACGACGTGAGGTCGGTTGTACCGACAGAGGGCGGACACTTTGCTGTGCTGCGCGAGTTGTCAGCGGCTGTGAATGCGAGGCTGTTGTCAGTGGTAGCCGCGGCCTCTTCTGTTTCACCGAACCTGCGGTGGAATCACTTCCCGTTAGACGATCAGTGCCTATCGACATCCAGCGTCTCATCAGCAGACTCGCATGTACAGTATGTTGAACTTCTTTCGCACCGTACGTAGCCAGCCCTGCCGATCGGAGGTTGCGAAACGGCATAGCCACGGCTACGCCGTACACGCACAGACGACGCAACACCAATGGGCCGTGAAACTGACGTCGCGATAACCGCCACGTTGTGACGCCTGGTATCGTCCCGTGTCATCCATCGGTCTCCCCGCATTGTAACAAGGCCCGCTCACTAGTCGGGAGGTGGTGGAGGTGGTGGTGGCTGCCGCTGCTGCTGCCGCTGCCTGTGATCCAGCACTGTGCGTGTGGATCACCGGCACACGTGGATCGCCGCCACACGCACGGCGTGAAACTCGCTGCCCCTGGGCGTCGAGGAAGAGCACAAATGTGGACTAATCTCCATCGGTGCCGTCGTCGTCATGGGACAGCGTGGTGCCGCCTCTGATGCTCCGTGGGTTGTCACCGGCCGCTCCGGTGTCCTCCCACGTGTATCAGTCCACTCGCGAATTGGCAGAAAG